TAAATGTGTTGACTTTTGCTAGTTCAGCTTCTCCAACAATATGGTCAAAGGCCAACAGTCAAATGGTCAAGGCTCAGGGAGAGAGATGATTGCAACTCTGCCAGATTCAATCCTGCTGCCTGGGCCTTCTGTAGTTACTTAGGGGAGGATGCAAAACCTACCTTTCCATGTAGGATGGGGAAGGGGCCCAGCCTGTAATCATTGGTATGGAAAATTCCTGGGTTGGTACATTCTCTGCAATCTATAGAGTACCAACAGGATGTAAATGACCGACAACATCACACAGCTAGTGTGTCAGAAGGGGCACTTGAACCCCCACACTGCCTCTCAGGTATCTTGTATATATCCCTAATTATGTACATATTATGTCCCCCTTTTGAATGCAAACTTCTTGAGGACAAGGATAATTTTGATTCTTCTGTGTATCCCCAGTGCCTGGTACTTCGTAAGTGATTAATATATGCTTATTGGTTGATTAAAGCTGGGTTAGATGGAGGGGCATTTTGTACATGTAGGCAGGTCTGGGCCTTCTCTCCATTTCACCCACTAAACACTCTGTCCCCTATCTCCCATCATCTCCCATCTCCCATCGTCTCCCACCTCCCATCATCTCCCATCTCCCAACATCTCCCACCTCCCATTATCTCCCATCTCCCATCATCTCCCATCATCTCCCATCTCCCATCATCTCCTCCCATCATCTCCCATCTCCCATCATCTCCCACCTCCCATCATCTCTCATCTCCCATCATCTCCCACCTCCCATCATCTCCCATCTCCCATCATCTCCCATCATCTCCCATCTCCCATCATCTCCCACCTCCCATCATCTCCCACCTCCCATCATCTCCCATCTCCCATCATCTCCCACCTCCCATCATCTCCCATCTCCCATCATCTCCCATCATCTTCCACCTCCCATCATCTCTCATCTCCTGTCATCTCCCACCTCTCATCTCCCGTCATCTCCCATCTCCCATCATCTCCCACCTCCCATCATCTCCCATCTCCCATCATCTCTCACCTCCCATCATCTCCCATAATCTCCCATCTCCCATCATCTCCCATCTCCTATCATCTCCCATAATCTCCCACCTCCCATCATCTCTCACCTCCCATCATCTCTCATCTCCCATCTTCCATTTTCCAGGCTTTCCATTAGCCATCCCACATGCCTGGTGTGCCTCCCCTTCTTATCTGTGCTGTGAGCCATACAGTCCCTCTCTTTTATTAAGACCAAGCTCAATGGGGCAGTTAGGTGGCGCAGTGGATAGAGCACAGGCCTTGGATTCAGGAGGACCTGAGTTCAAATCCGGCCTCAGACACATAACACTTAGTAGCTGTGTGAGCCTGGGCAAGTCACTTAACCGTATTGCCTAACAAAAACAAAAACAAAACAAAACAAAACAAAAAGATTAAGCTCAAGCGTCATCTTTGGCATGAAGCCCTTCCTGTTCCCTTCAGCTGCTGGTGCCCTCCCCCTTCCAATATGGAACCATTTGTATATATTTGCATTTATTCCCTGTTTACTCTGTATCCATTTGTATATGTCCTCGTTATCTCTCCCATTAGAATGGAAGGAGGAAGTGGTGGTTTCATTCTTTGCACTTGTGTCCCCAGTGCCTAGCTCAGTGCCTGGCATAGATAACAATCGATATTTGTTGTTAGATTGAGTTATTGAGGGCTCATAAAACTTGGAGTGACGTAACAAGGCACCAGAAGATCTAGGCTGCTCAAATTCCACCTCCTTCATGAAGCCTTTTCTAACCCCAATCCCCAAGGGTGAGTTCCTCCCTGCTCTCTTTCATGTTACTTTGTGTCAACTTTATAAATAGAAAAGAAGCTCTTTGAGGGCAGGGACTCCTTTATTTTTGGCTTTGCATCGCTGTAGCCTAGTCCTAATTTATATTATACATTTGTTCTTCAGTTGTGTCACTCTTGGTGATCCTGTTTTGGGTTTTCTTCGCAAGGATGCTGAAGTGGTTTGCCTTTTCCTTCTCCAACTCATTTTATAGATGAGGAAACTGAGGCAAACAGGGTTCAGTAACTTGCCCAGGGTCACACAACTGGCAAGTGTCTGAGGAAAGATTTGAACCCAGGAAGATGGGTCTTCCTAACTCAAGACCCAGCAGTTTACCCACTATGCTACCTAGATGCCCTGGTGTAAATTAGGGCCTTAATAAATGATTCTGAAGTGATGGATTAATGGGGAGACACAGCTCCTGTCCCAAGGGAATGAGGCACCTCACCTTACTCCTCAAGACCCTGGTCTGATGAAGTAGGAAGAAGAAATAGGGGTTGGCTATACCTGAATTATCATGTGGAGGAGGTCTCTGTGTTGTGACTTGAACCATGTAGGGTCAGGCAGGGCTTTCCTCCAGCTTTCTGGAGGGATCTAAAGATTTAAGCCCCTTTTCCAGATCAGGGATGACTGGATCTGAGGACAGCAGGACATTGAGGAGGGGGAACAGAATGGACTCGGGGTGTATAGGGCTGGGGGAGGGGAAGGACACAGTGAAACAGGCTGGGCCAGAGGAGGCAGCAGACAGGATGCCCAGCGGACACAGCCTTATTCACCTTCTTTGTCTGCCCTTGGCCTGGAGGAGGTCTGGGCCTGGGCTAACCCCCTAGTCTTCCCCTGGCAAAAGTAATAGCAGGCTGGGCTACTCTCCCTCAATTAGCAATCCTGGAGGTAACTGGAGATTAGGGCTGGAGGGGAAGCTTGGGAGGTCTGGGCAGGGAGTCATGACCCCTCACCCATTTGGGCCCTTTAGCCCTGAGCCCTTTTCCAGATCTGTTCTGTTGGGTTCAGCAGTTTGGGGCTCTGCCTCCCCCTCCCTCCCAGCCGTCTGCCAGTCAGACCAGACACCCTTTCCCAGGATTGCCAGAGGATAAGGAGATCATACGCTTATAGATTTAGAGCTGTAAAAGATTTTAGAGACCATCCCATCCAAACCTCACTCTTACAGAAAAAGAAACTGAGGCCCAGGGGGGCCTCCCACACGAAATCTCAGAGAGAGAATTCCAAACCATATGTTATGGTGAGAGGAAGGAGAGAGTGAGAAAGACTCAAAGAGGATAAATTTCCCATCTATGGGGGTTTATGATCCATGGATGAATATTCACAGAGTACCTTGAATTTAGGGAAGCCATCTTTGGTCTTCTTGAGTTAGGAGGTATCTCCAGGTGCTTCAAATATAAATGGGGTGACTCTGAAATAACTTTTGCAATGCTTTAAAGGATTGAGGAGGCATTTCCTCAAAACAACCTGAAGGTACAAACATTGTTATGCCCATTTTACAGATGAGGAAAGTGAGGCACAGAGAAGGGCAATAATTAGTCCTTGATCACCCAGTTAGTAAGTGTGCAAAGCGGGATTTCAACCCAGATCCCTCTGCTCCAAGTCCAGTATTCTTGAGCTGAGCCTTGAAAGAGCAGGAGGAGCAGCAACAAGAAGGCAGAAGTTCTTCATGGTTTCACCCCAGGTCACGCTCCCCCCGAGCTCAGGGACCCCTCCCCTGTACTCACTGTGCAGTCTGTATATCCCTGGGCCCTGACTTCTCATTAGTCAGCTCTTGACTTTTGCCTCTGTCCAAGGTTCAAGAGTCTCTCACTTAGTGAGCAGAACCAGGAGACTTAGCCCTTCCCAGCAAGGCAAGGCTCTAAGACATCTCCAAAGGCCTCATGATGGCAAATGCTATCCACATCCCAAGAAAGAACATGGAGTTTGAATGCAGAGACTATTTGCTATTTTTTTCTTCTGTTGTGTTTTGTTTTTCTCTTTCTGGTGGTTCCTCCTATCAGTTCTAATTTTTACTTACAATGTCACTAATGTGAAAATATGTTTAATAGGAATGTATATGTAGAGCCTCTATCAGATTGTGCACCGTCTTGGGGATGAAGGTGGGGAGGAAGGGAGAGAAAAATTTAAAACTCAAAAGCTTATGGATGGGATTGTCAATAAACCAAAATAAACTAACAAAAGGAAAAAAAAGAGTCACTTGTGAAAGAAATTTCTGTGGAGGACCCCAGAAAAGGTGAGAGCCAGCCACACTTGGAACCACTCCTCTCTTGGCTAAGATATAACGAATGATTATGGTAATTAGGGCAACAAATACGAAAAGATGTTCTTAAATCAACCTTTTAAGACAAATTCAGTAGAGTGTGGGATGGAAGTGGGGAGAAGAGAGTGGCTGGACCTTAGCTTAGGATACAGCCCTCTAGTGGTGATGGGGAGACAGACTTCAGAACATTGGAGACCATTGCCGGCATGAGAGCAGATATATTACTGCTACTTAGTTGTCCCTACCTGCTGAAGTACAAGAGCTTCTAGAAGTGCTCCCTAAACTTCTGCACCCCTGGGGCAAAGCCCCAGTGGTTTGCCCTAGTTACAGTACTGCTCCCTGGCTCCTGGTCCCAAACACTGGAACCCTGCTGAATTCCCAAAGTCCATTCTGTCTCTCTTCTCTGTCCTCTCCTCTCCCCCTTCTGATGTCTTCCCCCCTCTCTGTTCCAGCCTGCCTGGGAACACTGCCCCATAAAAGCTATAAACTAGACTGAGTCATGTTTCCATTTTGTGAGCCCTGACTTCTGCCTTTGGAATTGGCATGGGAGGACAGAGAGGAAGCGTTATACAAGGCTAGCCAGGAGCCTCTCTGGTCACCCTTTGTCTCCCTGGCTTGGCTCAGCGGATGTTTCTCTGGTTCCAGGTCCTCAAGCTGAATAGAGACGGCTTACCCTATTTTCTTGGGAAAATGAACAAAGTGAACACAGTGACCAAGCTGGGCCCTCTGTGGAACAGACAAAGGGGTCCCTCAGCCTCCTGAAGGCAGGAGGGTTGGCCTGCTGCCCCCCCCAGAGCTCAGCTGGCCCACTTTCCACCCAGAGTCTAGCTTTAGGCAGGCCAGCTTCCCTTCTTTCCTGGGCCCCAAGTCCCAACGCCTTCTTCCTTTGGGGATCTCAGGGATCATGGGATGGACCTTACAGTCATCAACCCCAACTTCTGTGTTTTATAAATGAGGAAACTGACACCCAGAGAGGTTGAATCATCTGCATTGAATGATTGCCAGAGTCACACATTAGATAATATCAGGGGTGGGATTTGAACCCAGGTCCTTTGCCACCAGAGTCATACTCTGCTTACTGCTTTACAGGACACTATTGGCTCTCTTCATGTGTACATATCCTGGTTTTCTAGCTGGACTGTAAGCCTCCTGAAGAGGCCGAGGTCCATGTCTCTTGCTCCAGCCCTCATAGTACTAAACATGGGGCTGCGCACATGGCTGGTGGTTCTCCGGCCAAGCCTCCCCTCCTCCAGGAAGCCCTCCTAGCCTACCAAGCCCATTCGTTCTTCTAAACACTCTCAATTCCTAGGATCTGAAGCCATAAGGGGATATCCAGCCCAGCCCTCACCCCAGCTCTCATTTTATGCAGGAGGAGCTGAGGCCAGGAAAGGTCCAATTGGTCATCCAAGGTCACACGTATCTGGGGTGAGCACTGGCCGTCGTGTCAAGAAGACCTGGGTTCAAATGTCCCCTTTGGATACTTCCTAGCGATGTGATCCTGGCCAACTGATTTCACTTCTCTGTTCCTCAGTTTCCTCACTTGTAAAATAAGGGCATCAGACACTATGACTTCCAAAGTTCTTTCCAACTCAACTCAACTCAATCCAGTTTAATAAACATAAAGAGCCTATTCCATGTAAGACCCTGTCTTGGGCTGGGAGCTGGAGAAGATACACAGCTGATGCAGTTAACCTCAAGGGGTGTATTATTTAATCAAAGGGATATAGCAAGTACAGAAGTGTATGCAAGGTAGGATGAGATAGGATTGACTTAAGGGAGGAGCTCTCGGGGAGCAGACATGGTCCGAGAAAGGTCCCACGGAGGAGGGGACAGCTGAGCTGGGCCTGGAAGGAAGACGGCATCAGGAGAATCTAAAACACCTTCATTTTACAGGCGAGGAAACTGAGGTTATGCGAGGGGATAAGGTCACAAGGACAGCAAGGGGCAGGGACGAGATTTGAAGCCAGGTCCTTGGACCTCAGAAGCAGGGCTCCTTCCCCATGTCCTGATGATGGAGGGTCAATCAGACTCCGATCTTCACTGTCCATCAGGGATCACTTGGGCCAAGCTCCTTTTTTGCCCCACAAGGAATGCTGGGAGATGCTGAGCTGCCCAGTCCCTGCCATGTGACCTCCACTGCCCTGTGTTCATAGCTTTCACTTTTCCTTGGTGAGAGCTCCCTGAGGGCACAATGTGCTCAGCCCCCAGGAGGGCTCACAGAATCCCAAATCCTCTCTCTCTCTCTCTCTCATTCTTAATGAGGGGTCCCAGTAGCCTCTGCCTGAAGACTTCCAGGGCAGAGGAGCCCACCACCTCCTAGGCCAGCCCATCCTGCTGCTGGACAGCTCCCATTGATGGTTAACAAGTCTTTCTTGACCTCCAGCATTAATTGAAGTTGTAAAACCTTCCATCCATAGGTCATCCTGGGGCCAGGCAGAATGAGTTCCAATTCTAGGTGCTCTCCCTTCAAACACTTGAAGATGGCTGTCATGTCTCTCATCTCCCTCACCCCCCCGCCCCCCAGTCTTCTCTTCTAAGGCCCAGCCCCAGCTTCCTTCAACCATTCCTGTATGACTTGGCTTGAAGTCCCAAGTGTCAAGGTCACAGAGACTCCGGGAGGGAAGTGAATAGCTGGGGGTAAGATAGGATGAGTCTGGGCAGCACCCCGTGCTACCTCTGGGGCTAGGACCTCTTCTCACCCTCCTCTTCCTTCTCCTCCTCTATCCCCAGACCCGGGCCACTGCAGCTCCCCAGGCAGGTTCATAGATGTCAGTTCCTAGGGAGCAATTCATCACATCATTTCTGGGGGCCATTGGAACAGAATGTGTTTGCTTTAGCCAATAAAAGAGTTATAGGGATTTAGAACCTCCTGGAAACAGATGAGGGGGAGGTGCAGCAGAGAAAGAGGGCAAACTCAAGCTGGAACTCTGCTTCCCTATCCAGCTTGCTTATCTGTGGTTAAAGGATTAGATCTGATTTCAGGCAATCAAGAAATCCCAACTTCTCTAGGAAACCTCCTGGCCAGTCCAGCTCTTAGAGACTAGTGGGGGTCCCTCCCTCCCTGGCAGGAGCACTCCCCCACAGCTAGCTACCCCCACAGAGTTGGCACAGTGGCCCAGGTCTCTGTTTGAACCTGTGGGTTTTGTTTGGTTTGGTTTTTAATGCCAGGCTCAAGATAGAGTGCTAAATGAACTCAGCAAACATTTGCTGTTTGGTTTGATTAGATAAGAAGAGGCTGAGGCTGGAGGTAGCATTTCATTCATCCCAAGAAGGTGAGAAGAGCAAAACTCCAGATTTTCTGTACTCTGTAGATGGTGGTGGTGGGGTGTGTGTCTGTGTGTGTGTGTGTAAGGGGTGGAGGTGAGGTGGGAGTAGAACTGGAGACCCCAGAGGGAAAGTAGGTGTCAGAGGTTTAAGCCACAGGTGGTAGAGTCAGGATCTGGGGGTGGGGGAAGGGTAGTGACAGAGGAACTGAGTTCTACTACCAACTCTGCAGTTGTAACCTTGAGCAAGCATCTTCACCACTCCAGGCCTCGGTTTCCCCACATGTAAAATGAGGAGGTTGGATGGCCTTGAAAGCCCCTTGTTGCATTGGACCCATGATCTTACAAGTCTAAGTGCCTTTGTGACCTGCAGCAAGGTCTCTTTCTGGGCCTCAGTCTCCTCATCTGTAAAGTGAGATGACCTCTGAGTTCCCTTCTAGGGATGATCCCTAGAACCACAGCTTGAGAGCTGGAAGGTACCTTAGAGGCCATCCACTTCCTCAGAATGAAGAGAGGGTCAGTGACTGGTCTAAGGATTGGCTCTGGGCGCACTGACCCCAAGCCCGGCTCTGCACGGACCTGACCCCAGGAGGCTTCCTGCCTCTCCAGAGTCAGGAGGATGAAGGGGTCCTGGGGGCTAGGAGGTCAGAGTAGATGGGAAGCTGGGTCGGAGGTCAGGAGAGCCAGAGAGCGATCAGGACGGGATTGGGGAGTGGGACAGGAATGAGACATCCTGGAGCAAGGCAGCTGCACTCATGCTCCGGGAGAACCAGGAGAATCCTCAGCTTCTGCCAGCATCAGGCACACTATAGGAGTGGTGCGTATTGTATCTCCTCACTTGAACGGACTCCTCTGGCCTGGAGATCTCCTTGGTCCCACAAATGTCAAAGCTGTCAGAGACAAAGAGAGAGACAGAGGGAGACAGAGACACACAAAGAGATAGAGACAGACAGAGAGACAGAGAGAGACACAGAGAGAGACACAGAGACAGAGACAGAAACAGAGGCAGAGATGGCGAGGAAGGAGAGAGACAGAGAAAGACACAGAGACAGAGACAGACAGAGACAGGAGAGACACAGAGAGAGACACAGAGAAAGAGACAGAAACAGAGAGAGAGATGGAGAGGAAGGGAAAGAGACAGAGAAAGACACAGAGACAAGACAGACAGAGACAGGAGAGACAGAGATAGAAACAGAAAGAGAGAGATGGAGAGAGACAGAGAAAGACAGAGAGAGACACAGAGACAGGGTTAGGTGAATGGGCCACTCCTAAGGGCACCATTCCCATTTCACAGGGAGCCAAGGCACTGGTACGGTCAGACCATTTTGGCAAAGCTGAACTAAAAAATGGAGAATTCATTCTTTATGAAGAAGCTAAAGTGTTGTGGTCCATAGAGCACTGTACTTGAAATCAGGCATATCTGGGTTCAAATATTGGCTCAGACACTTCTATGCTTTCCTCCCCTGGACAAGTGGCTTAAGCTCTCTCAGCCTCAGTTTCTCATCAGTAAAATGGGCACAATAACATCACCTACCTCCCAAGATTGTTGTGAAGGTCAGATGAGATGATAATAGTAGTAATAACTAGCATTTATATAGCACTCTTAATTTTGCAAAGCGCTTTACGTAATCTATTTCACTTGATCCTCACAACCAGTCTGGGAGGTAGGTGCTATTATTCTGCCCATTTTACAGATGAGGAAATTGAGGCTGAGAGGTTAAAGAGGCTCAGATCACAGATCTAGTAAGCATCTAAGGCAGGATTTGAACTCTGGTTTCCCTGACTCAGCCCTGCACTGCCCCACTGCCTACACAACATGAAGGCTCTGCTCGCCCTGAGGCACATACGAATGCTATGCTGGCCGAGGGGCTAGCTCAGACTTGCATGACCTCTCCACTGGACAACTGGGCTAGTCTAATCTTCCTCCAGTCCCACCCACTCCCCCTGCAGAAAGCATTCAGAGAAACATCATGTTACCTCACATGTGCCTGATATCCTGGCTCTCCACTTACCTTCATCTCCCTGGGCCTCAGTTTCCTCACCTGTAAAGTGAGGAGTTTGGGCCAGATCGCCTCAAGGTCCCTTCCAACTCTAGATCGATGGTCTTATGATCTCTCTTGGGGCCTCAGATTCCCTATCTGTAAAATCAAGGGGTTGGACGAGACCGCACTGAGGTCCCTTCCAGCTCTGGACCTATCATCCTATGTTCCTCAGTCTGGCATTCAAAGCCCTTTATATCAACTGGCCCTGCCTCCCTGGATTTTCAGGCTTTCTCCATGAAAATCCTTGGTTTTAGCTAAGTTGTTGTCACTGGTCTGTGCCACTAGGTGGTGCCATAGTGCACAGAGCACTAGACTTGGAATAGGGAAGACTCATCCTCATGAGTTCAAATATGTTCTCTCAGACACTGACGAGCTGTGTGACCCCGGGCAAGTCACTTGACCCTGTTTGCCTCAGTTTCTTCATCTGTAAAATGAGCTGGAGAAGGAAATGGCCAACCACTCCAGTCAGTATCTCTGCCAAGAAAACCCCAGATGGGGTCACAGAGAGTCAGACATGACGACAACTGACTGAACACCAATGCCATTGTTCTGGGAACACTCCAGGCTCAATTCCTCTGTCTTCACCTTTGCCCAAGCTGTTTCCTCCACCTGGGAAATCCACTGAGATAGTGTGTGCGAACAAAGAGCTTTGCCAAGCTTAAAGTACGGTAATAACAAGAACACATAGCATTTCCATGGCTAATAAGTATCGAAGGCTAGATTCGAACTCAGGTTTTCTGACTCCAAACCTAGCACTTTAATCACTGTACCAGCCAGTTTTCTAGAAGAAGGAAGAGCCCTGGACGTAGTATCAGAGAACCTGGCTTCAAATCCTACCTCTGACACTGTTGCTGTGATCTTGGGTAAGTCAGATGAGCTCTGTGCCTCAGTTTCCTAGGCAGTAAAATAAGGGGGTAAATGACTTCTCCTCCAGCTCTAGATCTATGCGCCAACGAGCCACAGTCACAGCTAGAGATTGCACCGAGAAAGGGAACATTAGAAGATGTTCGCAAAGTGGAGAGAGAGCCAACTTTGGACTCAGGGACACCCGACTTCAGGTCCCACCTGTGATAGCGTTGGCTATGTGGGATTCTGGGAAGGTTCTTTAACCTCCCAATGCCCCAGTCGACTCTAAGATTGTTGCTTGTGGAAAAGGTGTCAATAGATATCGGTGGAGGGAGTTTCCCCACTAGGACACCTAAGACATGCCAGTGAAACCATAGGTCCCATCAAAAATAACGATAAGCCTCAGAATTACTACAGGCTTCATGGTGTTAGAGTTGTTGTTCAGTCACTCAGCTGTGTCTGACCCTTCACGACCCCACGCACCATAGCACACCAAGCCCTTCTGCCCTCCACTATTTCTTGGAGTCTGCCACGCTGTTTGTTGTTTCCACGACACTACCTATCCATCTCGTCCTCTGCCATAACTTTTTCCTTTTGCCTTCAATCTTTCCCAACATCAGAGTCTTTTCCAATGAGTCCTGATTTCTCATTATATGGCCAAAGTATTTAAGCTTCAACTTCACGTTTGACTTTCCAGTGAATCGCCTGAATTAATTTCTTTAAGTATCGACTAATTAGATCTCCTTGCTGTGCCAAGGACTCCCAAAAGTCTTCTCTAGCACCACAATTCCAGAACATCTATTCTGCGGAGCTCAGCTTTCCTTACACTCCAACTCTCACAGTCATACATTGCTACTAGAAAAAGCATAGCTTTGACAATACGGCCCTTTGTCAGCAAGGTGATGCCTCAGCCTTTTCGGACGCTGCTCAGATTTACGATAGCTTTCCTCCCAAGGAGTAAGCTCTTTTAATTTCAAGGCCAGTCACTGTCTGCAGTGATCTGTGAGCCCAGGAACATAAAATCCGACACTGCTTCTTTTTTTCCCCCTCTATCTGTCAGGAATCAAGTTGCTAAGATCTTAGTTTACTGATGTTAAGCTTCAAGCCAGCTTTTACCCTCTCCTCTTTCTCCCTCATCAAGAGGCTTCCTAATTCCCCCTCACCGTCTGCCGTCAACGTGGCATCGTCTGCATATCTGAGATTGTTGAGATTTCTCCTGGCAATGGCTGAGGAGTGTAGCTTTTGCACTCCTCCCTTCAACCCTTGGTGACCCTACTGGGTCTAGGGAAAGATGTTTCAGAGATTATGATCAAGGAGGGCACCCAGACCAAGGCAGGGTTAGTTAGAAGTGGCCTTGTACTTTCCCTTCTTTGCAAATAACCAATCAATAAACATTTATTGAGGACCTACTATGTGCCAGGCACTGTGCTAACTGCTGGGGAATTAAAAAAAAAGGGTAAAAGACACTCCCTACCCTCAAGAAGCTTACAATCTAATAGCAGAGGTGGAGGGCTATGTGTGTGGAACATTGCATACAATGTCAATTTTGCTGAACTGTTTTTTGGTTTCCTCTTTTTGATTCTTTGTTATGCAAAATGGCTCTTGGGAAGGGAAGGGGAAGAGATGCATTGGGAAATGTAAATAACACAAGAACGAAGAGATTATAGGATCACAGTCTGAGAGCTGGAGGGAACCTCAAAGGTCATCTTGTCCATCCCCCTCATTTTACACACAAGGAAACTGAGGCCCCAAAGGAAGATGGCATCCAATTCCACATACACGGGAAATGGTGAAGCTTCAGTTTGAGCTCGGGTTCTGCGATTTCAGCTTCGGTGCTCCCAACCCAAACAGCCGACTACGTCATGCTGCCAATACTATTTGTAAAGGGGTGGTCTTGGTTTTACCTCCATTTACATCTCTCTGTCTCTGTTTCTCTCTATCTTTCATCAAACACTCAGCTCCCTCCCCCCGCTCCCTCCTACTCTAGCACCTTTGGGGGCAGCCCAGAACTCACCACGTATAGACAAGCAGCGCCACAAGAGCAAGGAACAGGAGGCTGAGCAGTATGGACAGGATTACTATGATGACGATGGTACCCGTGCTCTTGGGGGCACGGATCTCAGAGACCTCCTCCGCTGAGGCATCAGGAGCGGATGTGGACAAAGCCAGCCAAGAGCAGGGAATGGAAGGGTTAGGGTTTAGCTAAAGCAGGACGGGGATGGGGACGGGGACGGAGGGGCCACCATCTCCCTACTCTTCACGTTTCTTGGGGCCCTTTCTATCCTTGTTACCCCAGCTCCCTTGGCTTCCCGAGTCACTGAAACACCCTTCCCGCACCCTTTTCAGACTGCCGCCCCCACTTGGGGACATCAGCAGAGGTCACCACGTCAGGGATGTCTTGGGGTGGCATAGTTACGTTTTATCAGCGTGATGTCCTCAGACCACTTCGTCTCTGCCACTGGGCCGTTATCATTCATCACCAAGAACTTCACTCTGGATGGGGAGGACAGAGAATCTGCAGTGGGGGAGCCTCCGACAGGAGTCACCCTGTTCTCCAGCCTCAGCTTGTCAGAGCCAGCACCTCTTCTGAGCTGGCCCATCAGTCTATGCAGGTGTGTGTCTCTGGGGCCAAACACTGATCTATGGGACAGGGGAGGGAGGAGACTGGTACCCTAGGATGAGGGCCGGTCAGTCAGAAGAATAACCCAGGTGGCCCTTCCCTTGTAGAGACATCAGGTTGGTTCATGCTCTTTTGTGTACACCAGGCCACAGTCACTGAAGGAGGGAGGGAGGGAGGAGGGAAGGAAGGAAGGGAGGGAGGGAGGAAGGAAGGAGGGAAGGAAGGAAGGAAAGAGGGAGGGAGGGAGGAAGGAAGGAAGGGAGAAAGGAAAGAAGGGAAGGAGGAAGGAAGGAAGGAAGGAAGGAAGGAAGGAAGGAAGGAAGGAAGGAAGGAAGGAAGGAAGGAAGGAAGGAAGGAAGGAAGGAAGGAGGAACGAGGAAGGAAGAAAGGAAGGAGGGAGGGAGGGACAGAATGGAGGGAGCAATTATTAAGTGCCTACTACATGCCAGGCACTGTGCTAAGCACTTTGAAAGTAGTGTTTCATTTGTACCTCACAATAACCCTATCATTAAGTCCTATTGTCATCCTTATTTTACAATCAAGGAAACTAGGCAGACAGAGGTTAAGTGACTTGCCCAGGGTCACGCAGCTAGTAAGCGACTGAGGCTGGATTTGAACTCCTGACTCTAGGCCCACAGCTCTATCTACTGCAAACTAGGAAGCCTTCTGCAGAATCTCCAGTTAGGAGGGGGCTCTGTGCTTGTCCAGCCTAGCCTGTCTGAGCAGGAACCCCCTTCCTCTTCATAATGTCTCCGATAAATGGTCCTTCAACTTCTGCATGAAGATCTCTGGAAATGTCTTCCTTAAACTGAGCCAGAATCAGCAGCCCTATCACTTTCCAGCTGTGGTCCTTATCCCTGCCCTCAGGAGGAGGGTGGACAGAAGAACGTCTGCTCAGGACCCCCTACTATAACCAACACCTGACTGTGAACTCAGCCAAGCTCCAAGCTCCTCACGGACAGGGACTGCATTTTGTGTCAGGAGTTAGCTTTGGCCTGAGACCCCAGGAGAGAACCTCATTATGTGGGGCAGAGTCCTGGACCACATCCTCCAGAAGCCTGTGCAGGGGAACCACAATGTAGGACATCTTTCAAGGCACTTGGGTAGGGAGGAGCTTTGCTAGGAAGTGCAGAGATACAGATGGAAACATGACATGAGACCAAAGACTGGGGACGGAACAGGAGCAGCCAGAAGCCAGCCATGGCGGGGGTGGGGGCAAGCGAGGGAGGCTGTGGTCTAGATCTACAACTGACCATGTTCACCGGCCTTTGAACCAAAGGAGGAGAAGGAAGACACCGTCTGATGGTCCATCCACTCCCCTGCGGTTGGAGGGGCTGCTGTCCATCAGCGACATTCTATAGTGCCTGCTCTGAGTGACTGACCCATCCTTTTCCTGCTGGGTAGGAGATAGCCACGGCTAATCGACATTCCTAGGGAGATGCATTATGGGGCTGGGGGGGGGGGGCAGTAGCAGCCGTTTGGGAATGGGTACCAGGAGTGTCAAGTGCTGATCTAATCCTATGTTATTATCTCTTATTCTATTTCATGAATGTCTTAATTTATAGCCATCCGATTGGTTTAGTTAGGATGCATCAGCAGGGATTCCTGATCAGTAGCTCTGAACTGGTAACTACCCCAAGGCAACCTGGAGCCCGGGGATACGGAGGCATCAGTCATCTTTAGACACATGTACCCTCACCATCCATATCTCCTTTCATCATAGGAGAGCTTTTCTGAAAGCAAACTTTGCATGCTGGGGAGCCCCTGTAGGCAAGGGTCAACGGCACAGGATTTGGGGTCATTATGGACCCTCTGTGCAGGCTTCTAGAGGATGCAGTTCGGACACTCTGCCCCAGTGAATGAAGCCTACACTTATACAGCATTAACAGGTCTGTGCTGACACAGGATGCCTCACCCTCCACTAGTCTGTGTTGTGGGGGAGGGAGAAGACATCGGTCCTCTCTCCCGGGTCCCAGAACACTCTGTCCTCCACTCCACCTACTGAGGTCTGGGACCTCCCCTTTGGGTGTGAGAGAGAGGGCTCACACATGAGAGAGCATGGTCAAGGGGTGAGACTTTCTCCGTTTGGTCCCAGAGGGCAGAATTGGGAGGAACTGATGGGAGAGGGGCAGATACCAGATGATTGTCAGGAAAAACTGAATCTAAGCTTCCTGGAGGGGAATGAGCTTCCTTGGGAGGTCGCAAGTGGCCATCACTAGAGAGCTTTGGGCAGAAGCTGCATTTGTCCAGAATGTTACAGGAGGACACATATTCCAGTTTGGATCAGACCACAAGGGCTCTGATTTCCCTTCCCACCCTGAAATCACAGCTGTGGGTGCCCCCCCCCCAGGGAAATGTGGATCCTGTCCACTAAGATCACAGGATTAGGACCAAAAGGAGCCGTAGAGGTCACCAAGGCCTATGTTTGAAATGCTATGATTCTGTGGGCTCCATTCATTTCTCTGAGGAAGACGAGATTACCTTGGGCTAACGCAGTCAGGCTGCCCAGAAAACCCCAAACAATGCAGTCTTGGAAGGCTGCAGGGTGGAGGGAGGCTCTAAGATGGGCCTTGAAGGTTAGATGGATAGGCTTTGGATAGAAGGAGAAATGCACAGGGGTCAGAGGAAACGCATGAGCTAGAGAAGGGGCAGCCAGCTGCCTCACAACTTTGCCTGGTCCAGGCTGACCACCCGATGCAGAATACAATAAAGATAGCTCCTGGGCCCAGGAGGACAATCAATCAATAAACATGTATTAAGTGCCTACCACATGCCAGGCACTGTGCTAAGTGCCTAGGATACAAAAAGAGGCAAAAGACAGTCCTTGGCCCCAGGGTGCTTACTATCAAATGGGAAAGAGGACGAGCAAACAGATAAATACAACATGAGCTATAGCCAGGAAAAATAGGAAATAATTAACAGAGGGAAAGCACTAGAAGTGAGGGGGTTGGACAAGGTTTCCTGTAGAAGATGGGGTTTTTGTAGGGACTTGGTAGGGAGGTCAGTAGGGGGAGTGGAGGAGAGAGTGTTCCGGGGCATGGGAGAGAGCCAGAGAGAATGTCTGGAGCTGAGAGATAGAGGGGTCAAAGGAACATAGCTGGAAAGCTGGAAAAAACATTTCATCTAACCCAGGGAGGTGAAATAACTGATCTCAGATTGAATAATAATATAATAATAATAATAACTAGCATTTATGTAGTTCCTTAAGTTTTATAAAAACTGACACCCCACCACTCTGATTCTCAGCTTCTGTTGGTGAAGAGCTTAGAAATAGCAGACCTGTTGCTATAGTGGGAAAAAGCCCTGACTTTAGAGATGAAGGACATGGGTTCAAATCCAGCCTCTGGCACCTACTACCTGTGTGACTGAGGTGGCCATTTAATTTCTCAGGGCCTCAGTTTCCAAATGAGGAGGTTTAGTCAATGACTAAATCTATGCTATTCTGACCACAGTGCCATCGAGCGCACAAGCTTTTCCAGCTCCCAAGCACATCAGGGGAGAATTCCTGGGTTCAACGTGGGAGAAGCAAAATGGAGAGCTTCCCGTGTGACTTACCTGTAAGGACCAGGACCTGGCAGAGGTGCGTTGCAGGTATTCCCAGTGCACTTGGTGTCATTGCCCACCCTGAGGATGCGGATGTCTTGGGCGTTCGTCTCATTGGAGTAGAGTGCCCGACTGGCCCGGATAGTCATGTAGTATTTTTTCTCCAGGAATGTTGAAGTGTGGGGTATGCCTTGGGGCGACTGGGGAGCCGTGAAGTTGTTGATAGCTGTGGAGGCCGAGAAGGCAGCTGAGATTTTCAGAGCAGCTGACTCCTCAAAGACCAGACCCAGAGACGTGGGAGGCAAAGGGAGGACTGTATTCTAGAAGCCACGCTGCTCCTCCTAACCTAATCTCAACCTCAGTCCCAGCTAACCCCCTGGAGGTTTAGCCTTGGAAGAACCCACCCTGGGAGCCACTATCCCACCTAGGACCAGCTTTATCCACAGATGGAGCGTGACCAATTACAAGCCAGGTGTGGCCAGGGAGATTGTCCTATCTAAGCTTTGGATCTCTCCCAGCGCCTAGAGCAGCCGCCTGCACACAGTAGGTCCTTCATTGAATACCTATTCTCCCACTCACCACCTCTGTAATTTTCCAGCCCTAAGAGCCCCTCCTTGGCCACCATTCTCCTATGTGTGTTGTCTCCCTCGTTAGAATGGAAGCTCCCTGAAGGCAGAGAATTTTCATCTCTGTAGCCCTAGCTTAGGGCGGTGCCTGGCATGTAGCAATTTTTTTAATAAATGACTTTTCATTCATTCACAAAGGGCAGAATTTGAGGGGGGAAGGCAAGGATTACACCGTTTTTCATCTCTGTAAAGCCAGAACACTGGGAAAGTTTTTACTGTTTGTGTCTGCGATTTCTTTGGAATAAGGAGCTCCCAGTGAGAAAACCCCCCTCTCCCAAAGTGGATCACCACTTTCTTTCTTACAGTCTTAAAGAGTTGCCCAGATTACTTAAGTGATTTTGCTAGAATCACAAAGCCAGTCTGGTGGGATTTGAACATAGCTCTTCCTGACTCCTAGGCTATATACTACCATTTTCTACTTACAATCTATACCAGGCTGCCTGGTTTTGCACCTAGTAGGAACTTTGCAAGCAACTGTTGAATTTAATTTGGTTTGAACCAGGTCTGAGAAAAGGGAGTTGGGTTTGGGGGGACGGGAGTGGAACACAGAACCAGGGAACGGACAGGCATCAAACCTAATCCCATCTCCACCCAAGTCAAATCTCCCATTTCAAAGAGGGCAACAGTGAGGTCTTTCTTTGCCCCATTCCCCCTAGACATTTACATGGGCAGCACATACCATTGCTAAAGGCAACCACAAGCCATATGTCATCAGTGTCACTGAGGATGGGGCTGTTGAATTGGCCACTGGGTTGATCTAGGGTAAAGGTAGAGCTGGTGATGCTTCCTTCCAAAGGCTTCCTGGTGAGGACCGGGATGTAATCAATCTCTGGTGGATGATAACAAAGGGAGGGGGGGGGAAGAGTGATAAGGAACAGGTCCCTGGGGTTAGCCAGACAGTAGGGTCTACTGTTCCTATCCGCTGAGGGAGCCCCTTATCTGATGAGGAGACTTGTGCTCACCTGAAAATGAGATAAGAAATTGATTAATTATGGTTGTGTTAACTGTGAAGAGGTTGGCCTCAGAGTGCAGGAGTCTTGGATTCAACCTCCCACACTGACGTATATTGGTAATGTCACCCTGGGTAAATCACTGAATGTTTCAGTGATCTAAGTAACTTTCTAAGACTGTAGGAGTTCCAACTAGCCCTCATGAAACCATAGGTGCTGACCCAATTAACCAAACTATGTCTTAATTAGAAAAGTAAAGGCACCAAGCGCTGACTGCCCAGACTAGGTGGGGTGATCCTGGGGCAGTTTCAGCTAGGGGCTGGGAGACGTAGTAGTTTTACAAGGATGAAGGGAGACACACCCTCTCAGACAGGGAAGTGAGAACTGAGTTCTTGATCCAAAGAGGCTGGGAAGGGCCAGCTGGTGAGGCCAACACCCTTTAAGGCAAACTGGTTAAGAACAATCCATCTCTGTTTATGGTTAATCCCCATTCTCCAGAGCCCCACCCTTCATTAACCGATGGTTCCCCTTGAACATGAGGAGAGCAAATGGGCCACAGGCACCATACTTCTTCACCATTTGACACATCCCAGGGCTCTGCCCTCTGGCTGAAAGTGAGGAAGTGAGAATGAGAACCTGGCCAGGTGGGGTGTCAGGGAAGCTAGGCCAAGCACAGGGCCACGGCACAGAGCATAAGCTGAGAGTTGGGAGACCTGGGTTCTGGTCCTAGCACTGCCACTGAGTGGCTCAGAGACCTTGGGCAAGTTATTTTATTTCTCTGGGCCTTGATTTCCTCTTTTGGAAAATGGGAGAAGGTAGCAAAATGAATTAGATGATTTCTAAGGCTGCCTTCAAGTTTGGAAATCTTCCACTTCTATGAGAACTGTGTTTGGTCCGATTGGAGAGGATAGCAATGGTGGGAATAGGGAGCAAAAGAAAGTGTGGTAACCCCTGGGACCCCAACATTACTTTGGTCTTCATTTCCATCTGGGTGCAGACTGGGAGCGTATGTGCCCTTCTCTTCCCCACTCTTTTTTGGTGCCCTCTCCCCACACCCAAGCACTGATGCCCTAGCATAGAGTGTTTTCTCCTAAGATCCTCTGCTTATTCATTTTACAGCTAAGCCAGCCCTAGGAAGCCAGGGAAGAACAGTCTGTGATCATTTGACAGGTAGGGAAACTAAGGCTTGGAATGCTTCTCATGGATGTGACACAGAGTCTGCTGAGCCACTGAGGAGACACACATTTGTGCATTAGGAGCCACTGAAGGCTTTAGCACAGATAAGCCTCAAACGGGGACCCGAGTGTAAGATCCTGAGCTTCTGGAGGGGTTGGACTAGAAGATCTATAAGGTCTTTCTTAGCTCTTAGGGGGCAGATGGCTGACTCTTTACTATCATGGGAGGCGCTCCCCCACGTCCCCACCTTGACAAGGTTCTTCTTGTGTTTGGGGCTTCACAGGTCATTAGAACCATCATTAGCAATCGTCCAGATTGTGTTGTGTTTGGAATCAAAGTAACTGGATTCAAATGCTGCCTTTTTCACCTATGGGACCTTGGATAAATCACTTCTTTCGTCTTCAATTCCTCATCTGTAAATGAGGGTCTTAGATGAGACACCCCTGAGGTCCCTTCCAACTTCAAACCTTTGAATATAATGTATGATGGGTCACAACTTATATAATGATCAGTTTTCTCAACTGTAAAATTGCTAGTGTGGCTTAAGGTAGATGGTACCTAGAGAGGCACTATAGTCCAGTGGAAGGATCCCCCGTTTAGCGTTAAGGAGCTGGGCTTGATTCTCCCTGTGTGACCTGTGCCTCAATTCTTTATCTGTAAAATGAAGGGGGGGGTGTTGGGCTAGGGGCATCTGAGGTCCCTTCCATCCCCAGATCCATGATCTTAAGTCACTGGGATGCCTCTGGGACTCAGTTTCCCTATCTGTAAAATGAGGTGATTAGACTAGCGGGCCTCTAAGTTCTTGTAAAGTCTAAATCTATGATCCCTTTACTCAAGTTTTAGGTAGAGAGAAATGCTGTATCCACTATCAGACAGTCACTGGATTGGCTATTTCTGCTTAACTGGTTTTCTTTGTTACTAAGGAGGGTTCAATTCCAGACTAAAGGTGGGTGGTATTTCCAGAAAAGACTCTGATGTAAAAGCAAAAGGCGTGAACAAAATTCCAAAGGAAAAAAAAAGCAAATGCATCTGGGATTAAGTCCAGTACTCCTCATTTTGGTCCGAGCATTGAGACCATGGGAAGGGAAATAACAGTTGAAGACAAAGGAGGGAAGGTACCCAGGAATCAACTTCATCACCCTCACTATCTTGCTTCAGGGATCCTGGATGCTCACTCAGGTCAGTGTCAGGTGATGGGGAAGAGAGGGGGTCTCCAACACCCCAAGAACTGACTCAGTCTCTCATTCTCTAGACTGGAACCCCGAAGTCTGCTGGGAACGTTTTGGGAGGTACATTCTAGCAGGTATAGCCCAGGAAATCCAGGCCGATTGACTTTTTTCTCTTCCAACCCTCCCCCCCAGGAATCCAGAAAGAAAGATGCCCCCACCCCCCATCCCTCTATTGCTGGCAAACTCACCCAGGCTGGCTTCAGCTGGGATACTGGTTACTAGGAGCAATAGCGGCAGAAAGAGCCATCCTTGGGGGTGCCCCCATGGTCCAGATGGATGGAATGTTGGAAGGTCCCTTTGAGGGTGACAGTGTCTGAGCCAGGACACACTCTGGAGAAGGAGAGATGTGCTCTGGAGGGAGATTCTGTGGTCCACCCAGAAGGTCCTCCTCCACTGCCTCCTCCCCCTGTCATGCTGTGCTTCGCCCCCCACCCCCAACAAAGAACACACCCTGGGTCTGGGGAAGAGGACTCCAAACCCCAACTGGTAGGACAGGTTTTTAAGGAGAAACTAAACTTTAGCGTGTTCTGTGGTGATAGGGAGGGACCACGATGACTGAGGAGAACAATCGTTGCGTTCCGCTACAGACAGATCTGGATTCCGATTTGCCCCCTTCCCCTGGTCCTTGGACACCTAAGCCAAATTGGGGCAGGGTCCAGCAGGCCCCACAAAACCTGCTTTGTCCCTCGGTCTGGACAGTCTTCCTAAAGATAAGTCCTACACCTCCAGATAGAGACAGAGCAGTTCAGTGTGTAGGCACGTGATGCTGAATGAACAGATGGAAGTATTCTGGACATCAACCTTTGTCAATTCATCCATTCATTCATTCATTCAAAAAACCATTCATTAAGTAGAGTGTGACAATACTCTGTATAGAGGCATAGGAGGGAGGTTTGAAGCTGGAATGGGTCTCACAGGCCACCTAGTCTGACTCTTTCATCTTATAAGTAGTGATTTTAATGGGGTGGCATGGGAGGGTCCCCCTTAGAGACTTTCACTTCTCTTCTATCAGTAGTATTTGTAGCACAATCACCCCTTTGGGAGGGGGCTCCTGCCTGGATTGGCTCCCTTTGGCTTAAAGGGCTCATCTTAATTATGTCTAGGGGTATGTCTATATATTTCTATCTATGTCATATATATATATATATGAAATACTGGAGTGGTTTGTCATTTCCTTCTCCAGTTCATTTGACAGATGAGGAAACTGAGGCAAACAGGGTTAAGTGACTTACTTAGGGTCACAGATAGTAAGTGTCTGAGGCTGGATTTGAATCCGGGTCTTCCTGTCTTTAAATCTAGTATTCTAATTCATGGTGCCATCTACCTGCAGTACTCTGAAAGTTTGTAAAAATGTACCTGTCCCTTTGGCCAAGTGATGTATTTAACCTTATGGTTCCAGCTCTATTTTCACTAGGTCAGGTGAAGCTTGGCATGGGGCCCTGGCAGGGAGGAGACATGGGGATCCATGCCTTTGGGGAGCAGAACTTTGGCAAACGCTCCTTCGGAGGCCCTGGCCAAGTTTGTGTTTCATGCTCCTAAGGAGAGAGGTTCCAGGAATGTGGGAAATAGGAAGGAACCACACTTAGGGAAGAAGGCATCACACTGGGCCCTGAAGAACAGGAAGAGATGGTTGGCCAATGGATGAAAATGGAGTAACAGACAGCAATTGTGTGTATGTGTGTGTGTGTGTGTGTGTGTGTGTGTGTGTGTGTGAGAGAGAGAGAGAGAGAGAGAGAGAGAGAGAGAGAGAGAGAAGAAAAAGGAGGAGGAGAAAGAGAAGAAGAAGAGAAGAAGAAGAAGAAGAAGAAGAAGAAGAAGAAGAAGAAGAAGAAGAAGAAGAAGAAGAAGAAGAAGAAGAGAGGAGGAGGAGGAGGAGGAGGAGGAGGAGGAGGAGGAGGAGGAGGAGGAGGAGAGCGGGAGAGAGGGAGAGGGAGAGGGAGAGAGGGAGAGGGAGAGGGAGAGAGGGAGAGGGAGAGGGAGAGAGGGAGCCCCCTTGGGGGATGGGAGAAGGACACAGGAGTTAGTGGGGACAGGAGTGTGGAAGGGTGGGTATTAGGATGAAGAAGGCACATCAGATGTTTTCTGGGCTGGCTTTTGGCCTCTCTATGAATGCCAGACAGGCTGTCACATTAGGTCAGATCTAGAGGTAGAAGGGTCTTCACAGGCTATCTGGTCCAACCTCTTTATTTGACAGATGAGGAAACTGAGGCCCAGGGAAGGTCAGTGACTTTCCCGAGTTCCTCTGACTCCACAGCCAGAATTACACTCTATTCAGTGCACTGGCTAACTGCCTCCTGCTGCTCCCTCGCTAAGGAAAAATGTCCCTCTTGAGGGCCCCCTGTCTTCCTCCAGGCAGGGGAGAAGTTCTTTTGGGAGAGCTTGGCAAGTATTCTGGAGCCCAACCCCGTGCTTTGTGTCTGGGGTAGGCCCGGGTGTGTGTCCCCTTATTCACCCTTTGAGTCTTGCCTCTCCTCCCTCCCCTCACCTAGCAAGGGCACTAATTACTGTTAGGTGAACGAAATGATGAAGATGACAGGGACTGAAATGGAGACTGGAATAAGGAAGAGGAAGGGAGGGCAGGAGCTGGGGGGGGTATGTTTAGTTACACTCTCACATTCTTCCTTCTCTGAAATGGTCCTGCCCAGACAACTGCTTCCCTGGCTGCCCCCCACCCCTTTCCCCAGCCACACAGTGTCTTGGGTTAGTTGATGCTTCCCAGGTGGGCTTGTCTGCCCAGCCACTAGACAGGGAGGTTCCTGTGGGCTGAAGAAAATGAATGTAACCTTATTCACATGATTCAGAGAGCTCTAGGCAGACAAGAGTTCTTCCCGACTGCGCCCCGGTCAGTGGATCCCAGAGCCAGAACTGGAAGGGGCCTCACAGGTCATCTAGTCCAACCATCTCATTTTACAGATGAGGAAACTGAGGCAAAAGAGGTAAAGTGACGTGTCTAAACTCACGTGGCTAATAAGACAGGTCCATCGCCCTCCTGATGTCATCAGTCCTCTTTGAGAACGAAGGACGAACAACAATAGTCATCTGGTCTCCCTCAGCGGCAGGGTGATTTGCTTTCTTGCGGCTCCCCTGAGGCTCATTTCTTCCTTCTGACCAGATTTAGAGCTGGAAGGGACCTTAGAGGCCATAAATAGAGCCCTAGAGCTCGACCTCGGAGGACACCTGGTGCAATCCCTTCATTCTACAGAGGACTGAAATGAGGCTCAGGGATTTTGTCCAAGGTGACCCAGGGAGTAACCATCAGAGGCAAGATTGGAATCCAGGTCCTGTGGCTCCAGAGAGTGGTCTTTCCACTGTTCCATACTGCCTCCCTTTCACTTTAGGTGGGTAGCACCAAGGAGGGCCCTTCTTCTTTCTTCAGCAGACTGACTATGTGTACTATGGGAAATTTGGCAGCTATAGGAGATCAATCCATCCATCCATCAATAAGTATTCGTTAAACACCTATTATGCTCCAGAGACTGTGGATACAAAGACAAAAGTAAAATCATTCCTACCCTCAAGGAGCTTATATTCTAGTAGGGGAGAAAGCAATGAACTTATATCAATACACAAAAATATTTAAAATAAATACAAGATTTTTTTTTACAGGGGGACATTAATGGCTGGAGGGAGGTAGAAGTCAGGGTAGGTGCCTCAGGGTAGGTCTCATGTAGATTCTGGTGGTACAAGCAATTTCGAGGGATTACGAGAAGGAGAGATGAGTGATTACATTCCAGGTACAATAATACTTAGGGGTACTATGTCCTCTCCCTCTCCACTAATGGGCTTCTTTGCTCTGGACTTGTGCCTTCCGTGACTGGGAGCAGTCTTAGGGAAGCATGACTTCTTAAAAGAGGGGCTATTTTCATACTCTTTGGCTCTTTATACCCTGACCCCAGTGCTCAGGGAAAAATTACTTAAAGCTTAGGTTTGACTCATGTCTAGGGTCTCTGAACTCAAGGTGCAGTACGAATCAGGTATTGGACAGCTATTTATTTCCTCCACACTAAAGAAATGCTTGATACACACAAGACCCACAAGTATGTACCCACAGGAAACTTAACAAACAGCAGCATTAACATAACTACTATTACAGTCTGCTGGAAAATTGATACTTAAAATGTCAAGACATGATCCAGTTTGCAGGACTACTGAATAGGCATTCTACATGTCACCTCAGCTCGGTACCGTCCAAACAATTCCCTCCAGGTTCTTCTGGAAAACCAGGCCATGGGTTCTGGTTCTCCCCCTGCTGGTGGCATCTCTCTAGTGAGTCCATCGGTGCTGAGCTAGCATGGATACCAGAAGCAGGTGCAGCAACTTTGCCCATGTTCTCTGGGGTGCAGGTACCCAGACAGGGAGGGACAGCCTGTGAGATGGCCTACCTCTATCAGTGAGGGTTTCTGCAGAGGATTCAGACCTAAATATCACAGCACCTGGCATATAGTAATTAATTAATGCTTGTTCACTGACTGACTGGTTTGCCCCACCCATAACATTCCCTCTCTTCGGAAATCTATTCTTTTCTCCTTTCCCTGATGGAGGGTGGGATTAAAGTCGATCTCCTGTGGTTGGAAAAACCACAATATAATCAAGGAAAACACAGTCTCGTTTGTTCAACTGCAGAATACCAAAATGAGGGGGGCATTCTTTGAAGTTCAAAGTTTTACAGGGGGACAATTAACTGTTTTTTATACAGGAGACAGGCAATGTAGAGTTTAGAACTCTAGAACCAGAGCTAGGATGACAATTCTATTACCTCATTTGACAGAGAAGAAAAATGATGCCCAGAGAGGGAAGTGACTTACCCAAGGTCACATAGCACCACGACTCCTCTCCCCACCACCTCCCCCATGTCTACTGTTACCCCTGGCCCCCCTCCCAGCTCTTTTTACCTCTCCCATGGCATTTGTTACCAGCTGCTCTGGGTTGCAGCTATTTGTGTATGTCTTATCTCTCCCACTTGTTCTTACGAGAGGGTATAAAGGAGTTTCAGAAGAGTTTAGATAAATGTGTGGCTGAGGGAGCAGTGAGAGACTATGAAAAGGAATTCCCGGCTTCTGGGAATATCCCCACCCTTTGGAAAGCAGCTTTGTTCCCTGTGTTTGCACCTTGGGTGCATCCATTGGACATGAGCTCCCCAGGGCTGGAGGGACCCCAGATCAGGCTGCCGAATGCGGTGTGCCTCGTCTTGATGTAGGAAGAGGTTCTACACAGGGATAATAACTCTTGTCCCCTTTCCAGAAGCAATGGGAAAGCTCATTATTTGGTTATTCAAAACTCTCCAGCCCAAAATTCCCAGCCCTGATCTTCACTTCCCACTACATGTTTTCTTTCTCTATTAGGATGTAAATTCTTTAAGGACTAGGACATTTCATTTTTGTATTTAGAGCCCCAGAACCTAACACAGAGAACACATGGTATTTACTTAATAACACATTTTCATTCATTGATTGATGCATTCAAGAGGTGAGGTTTGAGGAATTTCAGAGAAAAAAAATCTCCTGGAATGTGGTGATGGATTCAGATGTGGAACGGGGAGAGAAGGGGGTCAGAAGTGGCTCCAGAGTTGATAAAATGAGGCTCAGGCTAGTGAGCTCCAGGGCTCCAACCTAACAGCTCCATTATACTGTGATTCTACAATCTTACTGTTAATAAGACTAGCAGTGATCCTCTGGTCAAGAACCATCATCCCCTTCTCCTTCCTTGCATGGTATTCGTTTGCATCTCTTGGGAACACTCATCTTGTATCATCTACCCACAAGGCTATGAGCACCACAAAGAAGAAACAATTTTCGTATAAACTCTGGGTAGGCAGCAAGCCCACTCCCATGCCCATGCCCATGCCAGGCTCATACAAGTTTCAGAGAAGGAGAAGGATGGAAAAAACTAAGGGGTGGGTGTTTTAAAAGAGAAGCTGACTGAACTCAAGGAGGGAGCCCAAGACAATGGCACTGCCGGGGATGCCTGTACCTTCTTGCCCTCTGGCCACTTGGACAAAACAGAGAACAGTAGGTTACTGTAAAAAGGAACTCTTGCTTCTTACATGTCTGGGTGTAAAAACAAACAGGGATAAAATGAAATAAAAGCATCAGAAGGTAAGTCAAGAACAGAAAAGAGATGGTTGTCCAAGAGCGAGCTTAAGGCCTAATGCAGTCAGCCTGAGTGCCTCCTTCCATTGAGGAAGACAGAGGTGTCCAGGCTTCCTGAGCTGTCTCCACTGGCTGGACACTGACCCTTCAGGAGATTTTGCCATTAGTGGAGAAACGCCAAGGAGAAAGCCATAAGGGAATGGGTCAAGAATCTGATTAATTAAATTCACACTGAACTTTAAGAATAACGAAATAAGCATTGTCACCAACAAAAGAGGAAGAGCTAGGGGTCAAGAAGCCGACAGCTGTCCGAGAACCAGAGAGAGCTTGGTGGTTGCCCCAGAGCACCCTCTGGTGTTGGATGATGCGTATAACAGCTGGCCATGAACGTTTGACTGGGAGCGCTTGGCTCTTACTGCTGAATAGGAGTAGACACAGAAACTCACCTTTTCATTTGCTGTGGTTATCGTCCACTCATGTCCGATTCTTTGTGACTCCATTTGGGGTTTTCTTGGGAAAGTCATGGCTTGCCATTTCCTTCTCCAGCTCATTTTACAGATAAGGAAACGGAGGCAACCACGGTTAAATGACTCGCCTAGGGTCACACTTGAGTGCTAATTTTTATTTCTTCCAGTCTCTAGCACAGGGCTCTGCCCACAGTAAACACTAAAATTAATTAAGGGTAGAATTGAATGACATGACGATTAGAGCTATCCAGAAGTAGACTGGGCTACCTCAGGGGATAGTGTTTCCCCTCACTGGTAGTCTTTAAGAAGAGAGTAGATGGAATACCATTGAGCTGTAAGAAATGATGAAGCAATGGTTTTATAGAGAACTGGAAGACTTAGACTGATGCAGAGTGAAGCAAGCAAGCCAAGAAAACAATTTATACAATAACAATAGTATTGTAAAGACAAACAATTTTTGAAAGACTCAAGAATTCTGATCAATGTAATGATTCCACAAGACTTGTGTTTAAGCTACATACCACCTAAGCGAGAGGGGATGGACTCAGTGCAGGTTAAGACGTTTAATTTTTGGACACTGCTAATGTAGGGGTTTGTTTTGCTGGACTATGCATATTCATTACAAAGCTTTTGTTTTTCTTTTCTCGTTCTCTTTCTTTTTTTTGCAATTGGGGGGTGGAGGTAGGAGGAAAAGAAAACAGATTTTTAAAAATTTAATAATACAGTAAGTGGCTCAGGTGGGGGCGGGGGGGAAGGGGAGGAAGAGAGAAAGAGAGAAAGAGAGAAGAAATTAGATGACTCTCTTGCAGTATGTTGTAGAGAAGATAATTGGTTAGGTCCAATTTGGATTAAATGGCCCCTGACGTTCCTCTCAGTTTGCTGTGAGATCCTATCATTCTGCCTACTCAACTTTCTTCTAATAGTAAACAACTTCTTCTGGAAATTTTCCCTGCTGAATAATCCTCACCGAATCTTAGCCATATATAAACTGCAAGAGCAGGAGAGAGGTGATGTTTTTGCCTGTTTTATTTTATGGCATTGCAGAATTTAGAGCCAGAGGCCAGCTAGTTGAATACCCTCACTTCAAAGAGAAGGAAACAAAGAGTCTTAATGACTTACCCAAGGTTACACAGCTGTAGATGACAGAGCTGGGACCCAAACTCATGTCCAAATTCAGAGTTAACATTAATGACCGAAAAGGAAAAAACAAATTCATTAAATACTAAAGTCTCATATAGATTTAGATCTCTCCAAACATTCCAATATTTGTCAAAGTTCATAGTATATCACCCTTCGTGAGACTGATGATAAATAGTTAGGATTTCTATGGTGCTTTAAGATTTACAAAGTGTTTTATTTGTGTTATTTAATTTCATCCTCAGAATGACTCTGGGAGGTTAATGCTTTTTGTTTTTGTTGAGTCATTTCTTTTATCCAACTTTTCATGACTCCATTTGGGTTGTTCTTGGCAGTGATACTGGAGTGGTTTGCCATTTCCTTCTCCAGCTCATTTGACAGATGAAGACACTGAGGCAGAGTTAAGTGACTTGCCCAGGGTCACACTAGTAAGTGTGTGAGGTCAGATTTGAACTCAGAAAGATGAATCTTCCTGACTCCAGGCCAAGCACTCTACCCACTGCGCCACAAAGCTGTCTGCTGATACGATTATTATCCCTTTTTACAGATTAGAAAACTGAGGCTGAGAGAAGGTAAGGGACTTGCCTTGGGTTCAACAGCTAATAAGTGTTTGAAGCTGTATTCAGACTCAGGTCTACCAATACTCTGCCTCCTGTGCTACATAGACTTAGGTGTTCATGGACTCATCACCTATGAGTTTGTAGAGATGTAAGAGGCTGTCTGAGGGTACTTGGTATTGTACATTCTTTCTTCTCTAACATGATTTCATCTATGCCTTTCCAAGTACTGAGGCCATCCAAAAGCTGGACGTTTTTCAGAACCTGGAGGATTCCAACATATTAATCCCCCAGAATTTGCTTAGCCACTCCCCTATTGTTGGGCATCAGGGCATTGCATTGCCAGTTAAGTCAGTGTAGCGTAGCTAAAACATGTTGGTCCCCACTAAGATGTCTGGGTTCAAGCAGTTCTCCCACATGTTGTCTCTGTGACTGAAGATGGGTCACTTCACCTAGGTCTCGGTTTCTTTATCTGTAAAACAAATATCATGCCTAGGGAACGGGAGTGATCGAGTAAATTAATCCAATCATCCCACCCCCACTTAAAATACCTGACAAATTGCTAGTCCTAATACAACACCAGATGAGAATACACTGGAATTGTTCACCTCATTCTAACAGGCTTGGACACTTCCATTGAATCAATGAATGGCTCAAGTGTAGGCTTTAGACCAAGTACGGAAAGTCCTCAGCTGAGTTAGATGCTTTTGAAAGCCACTGGAAACTCTGCTATCCAAAGCTGCCAGTGGTCCCTTTATCACCAGATCTTTTCTCCATCCTCATCCTTCTCAACCCCTGTGAGCCTTTGTCATTGTTAAGATTCCTCTCTTCTGGGGCAGCTAGGTAGTGCAATGGATAGAGCTCTGGCTTTGGAGTCAGGAGAACCTGAATTCAAATCCAGCCTCAGACATTTGACACTTGCTAGCTGTGTGACTGTGGGCAAGTCACTTAACCCCATTGCTTAGCCAAAAAAAAAAAAGATTCCCTTCTTCTTGAACCTCTCTCCTCTCTAGGTTTTCACGACAGTGCTCACCTCCACCCCATCCTCACAGAGCCAGAAAGAGCATGAGGTTGGGTGAGAATAAGCCCCATTTCATTTTTGTTTACACTCTATTGGTTCTTTTCTTTTTTTCTTCCTTGTTACTTCCTGCTTAGTCTTTCCCACCACCCCTGATGGAACCCTCCCTGGCAACAAATAAATTCAGTCAAGCAAAGTGAATGAATGAACATGTCACTCACATCTTTCATTGTGAATGACTCATCCCGCACCTCTACGCTACCACATCTTTTCCAAGTGGGGTGAGGCATTCTTCACGATCAGTCCTCTGAAGTCACAATTGGTCACTGAATCGATCAGAGTTCTGAAGTCTTTCAATACCATCTTCCTGGTTGTTATTTGGGTCATTGTAATAAATAATAACAACTACCACCTACATATCATTTCAAGATTTGCAAAGCACTTTACAAGGATGATCTCATCTGATCTTCACAACTGTAGGTGGTGGGTGCTATTATTATCCTCCATTTTGCAGATGAAGGAATTGAGATTAAAAGAATTGCCCTGGGTCATAAAGCTAGAAAGTGTCTGAGGTGAGATTTGAACTTGGGACCTCTCAACTCAAAGTCCAGCGCTTACTCCACCAGGCCACTTAGTGACCTCATTGTGCACACTGTCCTGGTTTTGCTTTGATCTCTATCAGTTCATACAAATCTTCCCAAGTTTCTCTGAATTTTTTCTATTTGTTATTTCTTAGGGTGCAGTAACATATCATAGGTCACAATTTGTTCAGCCATTCCCCAATAGATGGGAATCTCTTTCAGTTCTTTGCTACTATAAAAAAATGCTATTGCAAATATATTTGTATGTATGTATGTGTGTAAATGTATGTGTATATGTAGACCTGTATATGTGTATATCTATATATATGTACATGAGTCTTCAATACTTTTCCCTCTGTCCTTGACCTCCCCGGGGTATATACCTATTAGAGGCATCACTGAGTTGAAAACATTACTTTTTAGTGACTTTTTTCGCATAATTCCAAATTGTTTTCCAAAACACTTGAAGCTACTCACAGTTTCACCACTGTATACTGGTGTCCCTGGCTTTCCATAGCCCCTCCAGCATTTACCAACTTCATCTTTTTGCCTCCTGGCCAGTCTGCTGGGTGTGAGTTGCTTTAATTTGCATTTCTATTACACACGATGATTTGGAGCATTCTCTCTCCACTTGTCCTTTTTTTTTTTTGGAAAATTGCTGTTCATATTACTTTGACCATTTATCTATTGGGGAAGGATTCAACAAACCCTGGTTGTCTGGGCTTTAGAGGAAGGAAGGAAGGAAGGAAGGAAGGAAGGAAGGAAGGAAGGAAGGAAGGAAGGAAGGAAGGAAGGAAGGAAGAAGGAAGAAGAAGGAAAGAAGGAAGGAGGGAGGGAGGGAGGAAGGAAGGGAGAGAGGGAGGAAGGAAGGAAGGGAGAGAGGAAAGAAGGGAAGGAGGAAGGAAGGAAGGAAGGAAGGAAGGAAGGAAGGAAGGAAGGAAGGAAGGAAGGAAGGAAGGAAGGAAGGAAGGAAGGAAGGAAGGAAGGAAGGAAGGAAGGAAGAAGGAAGGAAGGAAGGAAGGAAGGGAGGAAGGAAGGAAGGAAGGAAGGAAGGAGGGAAGGAAGGAGGGAAGGAAGGAAGGAAGGAGGGAAGGAAGGAGGGAAGGAAGGAAGGGAGGGAGGAAGGAGGGAAGGAAGGAAGGAAGGAAGGAAGGGAGGGAGGAAGGAAGGAAGGAAGGAAGGAAGGAAGGAAGGAAGGAGAAGGATGGAAGGAAGAAGAAGAAGAAGAAGAAGAAGAAGAAGAAGAAGAAGAAGAAGAAGAAGAAGAAGAAGAAGAAGAAGAAGAGAGGGAGGAGGAGGAAGAAGAGGAAGAGGAGGAGGAGGAAGAAGAGGAAGAGGAGGAGGAGAAAGGAGAAAGGAGAAGGAGAAAGAGGAGGAGGAGGAGGAGGGAAATGATGGTGGTAAAAAACTGGACAAGGGGAATGGTCCCCAGGGCAGATGTCTAATGAGGGTGAAGTGTCTGCGACTTTGTCCTCACCACTGGCATCAGGGTGGAGCACCTGTAGAGTATTCCTAATTACAACTATGCTGAACCATCCCCTCCCTGTTTTAGGGTGCCACCTGTACCACACCATATGCCTCAGACAAGGAGTCATCTCATGCCCATCCAGTGTCAGGGTGTATATATGCCCATGTTCAAGGGCAAAGGACAGCTGGTGGAGAGGTGGGGAATGAACACAGCAGACAAGTGAGTGACTGCCAGGCATCTGTCCCCAGGAGGCAGCAGGACGAGAGAATTCAGAGGATGTTTGAGGTGGATGAGGCTTGAGAGCACTTCATCTAAAAACTTACTTATTTTGGAGATGAGGAAACTGAGAGCCAGGGAGCAGAAACGACTTTAAGGTCAAAGCAAGTTAGTGAGGGAAAAAATGGGACACAAGGTAGGTTTCCTGCCTCCCAGGGCAGGCGTGCTTCTACTCCCGAGCACAAACGGTAAAATCTCGGAGCTCACAGGGAACTCCGAGGTCATCAGCGTGAACGTGAGCAGGAGTCCACCTTTATATAAGAATCCTCCATGGTGCGTCACGTCCTCAGGCAGCCCATTCCACTTTGGGCTGGGAGGCAGCTCATTCCAGGCATGAAGGACGGCACACCCCCAAACACAGGGGACAAAAAGCAGGATAAGATCTGAGAACAGCCGGCAGTTGGGTTTGGTGAGAACTCAAGGGAATTATTGTGAAAGAAGTCTGCACAGGTAGGTTGGCATCAGTCAGTCAACAAACACTTGCTATGTACCAGACGCTGTGCTAAGTGTTGGGGAATACAAAGAAAGCCCAGAACCGTCCCTGCCCACAAGGAGCTTGTGCTCTAATGGGGGACAGAACATCTAAGTAGCTTGGTACATACATGATACATGCCGAGCAGATGAAGACAATCTCAGAGCAGAAGATGCTAGCAGCTGAGGGGACTGGGAAAGGCCTCTTGAAGAAGGTGGGCCTTGCGTCTTGAAGGAATCCAGAAGCTAAGAGGCAGAGGGGAGGGGAGAGAGAAGTCTTTGAATACCCTCCCTTCTCCCCCCAGACAAAAAGTTTAGTTTTATCCTATAATAAGGCAATGGGGAACCACAGAAGGTGGGGTAGAAACCCAAGCAGACCTTCTCCTTAGGTGGTTTTCTTTGGCAGTAGTGTGAATAATAGACTGATGGGAGGCAGGATGGCCCAACAGAAAGAGCACGGACTTTCCAGTCAGACGGGTGCAAAGACCATCTTTGAAAATCATTAAATCATATACTGCAGGGACTCCGTTTCCTCAACTGTCAGAAGAAGGATCAGACTTAAAGGAAGTCCCTCCCAGCTCCAGATGTCTGTCTCTAGGAAGACGAGGGCAGCGTGAGAATCTGAGCATTGGATGGGACCTCGGGGGCCAGAGAGTCCGACCCGCACACAAAGGGAATGCCGGGCTCCACAGAGTATTTCCTCACATCTCATTCCAGGCCTCAGATGGCCTCTTCCACTCATTGCTCCTGGCTCTGAACAGAGAAGTCTAGTGCTTCTACTCAGCAGCTCCTCAGAGACTCAAAGGCACTTAGAGGCTCACATCCCCCCATGAGATGACGAGGCCCTGAATCTTGGCAGTGGCTGTGTGAGAGGCCCTGTGACAAAACAGCCACTTGTGGAGTCCGACAGGCCCCACAGCTAAATCTAGGCTCTGTTCCTTCCTACTGGTAGGACCACGGGAAGGTCACGTCCCTTCTCTAAGACTCAGTTTCCTCATCTGTGAAATGGAGGGGCTGAGCTAGAAGGTAATAATACCTAGCATTTATATGGGACCACAACAACCCTGTGAGATAGGGTTATTATTCCCTACTCATTCCCTAGAGTTACGATGACTGTTGTTGCTGTCCCCATTTTACAGATGAGGAAACTGAGGTCCAGAATGGTTCATTAAAACTTCTAGTAAGCATTTGAGGCAAGGCTTTAATTCAGGTCTTCCTAACTTAACATCCTGCCTCAAATGCTTACTAGCAGTTTTACTAGCAAGTCTAGTGCTGTGTCCACTCTAATATCCCTTCCATCTGTTCACCTGGGAGTGGAGATGGGAAGAGTGTTCAACAGGTCTTGGCTAACAGGACTGGCCAGGGAAGGTGAAGGTGAAAGCTCTGGGGTCTGGAGCTAGGTGCCTGAGAGGATGGTGGCATCCTCTGCAGATACTGGGAAGCTGGAAGGAGGGGTAGGTTTGGGGGGGAGATGACCTCAGTTTGAGACATTACATTCTTGGTCCAGTACCTAGGTGGGGCTGGGTTCTCTGCTGCTGATTCACTCCTGAGGAGGGCATAGGGTGGAGACCAGGGGAGGGTGGATACTGGGTGAAGGCTGTAGTCCTACCGATGCGGAGGAAGGAGGAGGGCCCCACTTTGGACCCTGGGTGGAGGCAGCAGAAATGAACACTATCAAAAGCATTTCCTCCAGGGAGCAAAGTCAACATCTGTAGTGCCTGGGGCCCACCGTGTAAGGGAAGGCTAGCCAAGGCTCCTGATGGGAGGGGGTTCCTGGGAAATATGCTGGAATCCAAGGATGGGCTGAGGCCTTATCAAGGGTGGGGTGCACAGATGACTCAGCAGGTCTAGGGGACCTGACACCCTCAGGTATCTGCTTCATCTTGCATAAACCAGGCTGGTTCAGGGGCACCAGGGAATTGGGGTAGGGAGGGTAGGGGTGAGAAAAGGAAGATCCTGAGGGGTCTCAGTATGAAGATCCTCAGCTTCAGGGCCTGGCTCCTGGGCATGGGCCTCAAAGAAAGATTCCCTTTCTGGTCTTCTGGCTCCAGGTGATAAGCCCAGGAGATCCCCTTCCCTGCTCTTATTTTTCACCCAAGAGAAACCTAACTAGGGCAGGGCAACAAGGATACTATGATTTGGAGGAAACCAGCAACAAATGTTACTTCTTCATCAGGACCAAAAGAAAAAAGAAAAGTGGCTATTGATTTAGTTTGACCATACCTGAGATTTCCCTGACATAGGGCAGTCCCATTAGGGAAACTCCCTCTACCAATGCAGATCAGCAACTCTTCTGTGATGTTTAGTCTTAGGGTGTTGGCTAGGGCATTACAGGTAGTTTATGATGGAGCACACCTGAGAGAAAGCTAATGGAGGGAGAAACAAAAATGTTATCAGAGTATACCTGGACAAGAAGAGGAACTAGATGAAAAGGAAGGAAGGAAGGAAGGAAGGAAGGAAGGAAGGAAGGAAGGAAGGAAGGAAGGAAGGAAGGAAGGAAGGAAGGAAGGAAGGAAGGAAGGAAGGAAGGAAGGGAGAAAGGAAAGAAGGGAAGGAGGGAGGGAGGGAGGAAGGAAGGGAGGAAGGAAGGGAGAGAGGAAGGAAGGAAGGAAGGAAGGAAGGAAGGAAGGAAGGAAGGAAGGAAGGAAGGAAGGAAGGAAGGAAGGAAGGAAGGAAGGGAGAAAGGAAAGAAGGGAAGGAGGGAGGGAGGGAGGAAGGAAGGGAGGAAGGAAGGGAGAGAGGAAGGAAGGAAGGAAGGAAGGAAGGAAGGAAGGAAGGAAGGAAGGAAGGAAGGAAGGAAGGAAGGAAGGAAGGAAGGGAAGGAAGGAAGGAAGGAAGGAAGGAAAGGAGGGAAGGAGAGAGAGAGGAAGGGAGGAAGGAAGGGAGGAAGGAGGGATGGAGGAAATAGGAATTTATTAAGTTCCTACCTTATTGAACATATAGAAACATAGAACAAAAATGAGAGAAACTTAGGGTGAGGGGGAAGGACCTCAGTAAAGAATGAATGAATGAATGAATGAATGAATGAATGAATGAATGAATGAATGCAGAGTTGTAAACAAGCCCTCTCATGCTGCCAGGCAGAAGAGCTGAGTGAGGAGAGGCTGGCTCCCTGGAGGTCGGGCCAGTGTGGAGCAGCTGAAAGATGACTGTATTTGGAATCAGAGGATCTGGATTCAAATCTACCTGTGAGACCTTGGGCAGGTCACAGCCTCTTTGGGTCTGTTTCCTCAACAATAAATGTACGGAGTTGGACAAGGAGGTCCCTTCCAGCTCTAAATCACTGACCCAATAATCCTGTGACATAATTAGGTAGCGCCTCCTCTCGCCCTCGGATGCTCCCCAGGCACTGTCTAGTCCAGGGAGGAGAGGAGTCTGATGTTCTCAGGATATTGAGTCCAAGGGGGCTCAGCGCAGAGATGGGGGTGGGGGAAGGTCGATGTTCTGAGCCAGAGGGCCCAAATCCTTAGGAATAGAACTAGGATGGGACAACCTGGGATCTTTCCCAGGCACAGCCCATGTGGGGGGTGGGGTGAGGTAGGACTGTTCCAGGCCAAAGACAGAGACTGGATGGGATGGGGGCAGAGGAAAGAGAGTACATTGCCCCTGGGAGGGACCCCATTGCAGGAATGTGCCTGCTCCCTCTCCTCTCCCTTCCCTTCTGCCCCCTCCTTCCCAGGTGCCAGCTGCCTTGCCAGAGGTGGTAATTCTATGCTTCATCAGCTCCTCTTCAGAGCCTGAGCAGCTGAAGGGGAAAGGCATCCTCTAAAGGGAGGGGAAGAGAGGGCATCAGAGCCTGAAATCCTTCCTCAAACACAGGCCCTGCCCAGACAAGGCTCCCCAGCATCTCGTTACCGTGTGCCGCTGGTGTTCCCCTCACACCCTGGGCAGGCCTGAACCAAATTTCCACCGACCAGGAAGTCTGCCCCACTGACTACTCCTCCCCTCCCCTCCTCTCCTCTTCCAAGTCAGAACCTTCTGGTTACTCAGGTCCCTCTTGAGAATCCTCTCCATACTAAGACTTTCTTGACCAGTAATGGGATTTTAAAAGGCTAGGCTGGAAAGGACAGTAATCAATGCAAAGGAAAGATCTAAGAGTGAAGTTTCAGGCACCGGGGGGGGGGACATATTCAGGGATATAGCAGGGGTCCTCCCCCCCCTTCATAATCACACCATGAGACACCTACTTCCTCCTACCTACCCACTAGAAAGTCCCACCCTGATCCAATTCCTCAGTTCTGGGCAGATAATGTGAGGCAGAATTTGAATGTCAGTGGTTGTGGTTGTAAGAGGGTGGGGGCTTCAGCTGGGAAAGGGAGCTGGTGGGAGACAGGGGAAGAAACAGAAGACCCTCCTGACCCCGTCTGGGTCCTTCTTTAATTCACGCCAAAATGCACTGGGGAAGGGCTGGGGGTGACTCATTAGTACAGAGGACAGATTCAGACCATGGGTCCTGGGCAAAGGCTGGGGAGCAGGTGGGGCCCCCTGCCCACAGGCAGCGTGTCCGCCTCACTGGGTGGGATGTGGTGCGTCATGTAGCGTTTGCCAATGAAGGAGCCCACGTGCAGCTGCTCAGGGGGTGGTGGTTCCTCGGGCCACCAGAGGCTGGAGCTGGGGGGAAGTGGACAACAAACATCTGGTAAGTGCCTGCTCCTTCGGACTGTGCTCAGCGAGCCAGTCACAGCCCCTGCCCTCACAGAGCTTCCAGTCTAGTGGGAAGTTAAGTCCCAACACTAAAACTGTCTGGACTTGGAGTCCAAGGACTCCCACTCTGGGCTTCAGGAGGCCAGCTTGAGGTCTATGACCTTCTGTCACTTCCCCTAGAGTGGTATCACTTTCAACCCCAGGACTCAGTGGTCGCTAAGGTCCTGCCCAGCTCAAGGCTGTGATCCAAAGTCACTCTGCCTCAGTTTCCACCCCTATAAAATGAAGGGGTTGAATCAGATGACCTCTGAGGTTTCTTCTAGGCAGGGACCGAGAACCCTCTGGACCTTCCTTGAGAAGAATGACATCATAAGGTCTGAGGGAGGTGGGGAAGCTTCAGATCAGGTTGGATTTGAGCTGGGCTCTAAAGGATGGGTAGGAATTCACCAAGCAAAGAAAGGAAGGGATGATGTTCGGTCATAGGGAACCGCCCCAGCAAACACCTGGAAGTGGGAGAGCGCTGAGTGTGGGGGAAAGTATATCAATGACTCAGTTAACAAGCGTGTACTCAATGTCTTCTAGGCACTTAATACCAGGCACTGGGCTAGGACACAAGTCCAGAGTGAAGCAATTCCTACTTATAATCAGGAAATGTCCACGATGGTGGGTGGGGAGAACGACAGTCATTTTTAAACGGAAAATAAAAATAAAATGACTGCGTCCCCCAAATAAATAAAAGTTGGCAAAAAATGAAAATAAACCAGAATTGGGAGATCGGGCTGGCCCTCTCCAGCGTGAGGCCTACCACGTGATGGGGTAGGACCAAAGCCGTGGTTTCACTTGAATAGGAACTCCCAGGAAGGAAGTTCCTTCTACCTGTGCAGACTGCGCCTTGGAATTTTAGCACGTTGGGTGGGGCACTGAAAGGTTAAAGGTCATCCCTCCGAAGCGTGTCCGAGGGGGACCTGAACCCAGGTTACTCCTGACTTCAAGGCCATCGCTCTAGCAATCACCACGGCCTTCTGTCTATGAGCCGATCCCAGCCAAAGCTTCCCTTGTGGGACCATTCACCAGAGGAAGGAAGGTTGGGTGGCCCCCTGGTGGCTGATCCTAAGCTCTGCAGCCTGTCTGCAGGTAGAATCCTGCCCTGGGGACCCCAGGGTGCCTGAGCCTTCTGTGACTACTCTCAGCCTTGGTCCTCCTTCACTAATCTGAACGCCTCCAGACAGACTGTAAAGAACAAGCCAAGAAGCTGCTAGAACGAATGGGAAATCCGCTTCCCTTTCTGTGCCCTCGGAGCCCCACGACCCCGCTCTCCCCCGAGGAAGCCTGAGCATCCTCCGCGAGGCAGAGAACCAGGGACCTCCTTCTCCCTTGGGGGCACAGGATGGAGTGTGGGACCTACAAAGGGCAGGGGGCGTTTTAGGAACCTGGAGAGGATAATGCCGAACCCAGAAGAGCAGTCCAGGTACTGCTGCTACGATGACACGGCTCTGAGTTCAAATCCTACTCCTGCCACTACCTGTGTGCACCAGATTGCCTTGGAGGGCCCCTCTGGCTCTATGTTCCTAAGATACTTAGTAACAGGCAAATTACTTGGGCCTCAGTTTCCTCATCTGTAAAATGAGAAAGGTTTCCGAGGCCCCTTCCAGCTCTAAATTTCTGGTTCTATGGTGATCCCTCACAGCCCACCCAGATGAGGGGATAAGGCCGGCCCTGGTCCAGGGCTTCAGGACTTACAATTGAACAGTGGAGGCGATGAAGAAGGCAAGCAGCAGGAGCCCAGCGAAGGCGGACAGGATGGAGGTAATGACGATCATGCAGCCGCTTCTCCTGCCGGGCCACGTGTCAATGCTTTGGGGGTCCCACCCTGGAGTCACAGAAGCACCGTCTGCCGGCAGCCCGGCTAGGGTGAGGGAGGGAGGGAGAAGGGGAGGGGGAGACAAGGACGAGGAGGGTGGGAGAACTGGGGGGCCAGAGGCCCTGGGATGGGTCAGGAGCCCAGTCAGTGCCTTCTGCAGGGAATGCCCTTCTCTTCCCACCCTCCAGCCCTGGGGCAATTCTAGGTTGTTCATCCTTTTAGGGGAGCCCCTAGCGAGGCCAGGGAGAGGAGGTTTGGCCAGAGCTGAAGACAGACTGAAGCCCCAGCTCTATCGAGAATTGGCTGTGTGACCTCAGGCAGGTCATTCCATTCATTTCAAACTCAGTTTGTGCAGCTCAGCTCAGCTTCATTCACTTCCATTCCACTCCCCTCGACTTAACGAGTATTTATTGAGCCCCTGAAATGTTCCAGGTACTGAGCTAAATGCTGGAGGTGCAAAGATAAACATGCAGCAGGCCCTGCCCTCAGGGAGCTTACATTCCAAGGTATGGACAGGAGTCCCAAAGGACTCCTCTTCCTTCCGTTGTTTCTCTGGGCTGCTCATAGTAAATATGCAGTAAATACTGGTTAAATGAACAAACAGAATTCCCTTCTCTGGGCCTCACTTTCCTCATCTCTCCCATTTGTGTTGTGAGAATCCAGTGAGGGCATGGAGAAAAAATGTCACAGATGAGGAACAGAAAGAAACAGGGAATCTCTTCCATCGGATGAGCCTGGGGGCCTTTGACTTGCAGGGAGCCGGGTATTAGGTGGGGTACGGGGTAGTCCTATCTCCACCAGCTTAGCTCAGCACACTCCGCCCATGACAGAGGGAGCCCTGGTGTGTCATCTAAATGAGCCTACCAGAGTACTCTGCATCATCAGTGTTTAATGAGCATTTGTCAAATGAATGAATGAACGAAGGTAGAGGGGCATGGAGAGGCTGACGCCACATGCCAGTAGGGGGACAGAACAGTGACCAGAGGAGAAAGCCAGGACTGGGGTTCACATGCCATTTCTGATGCTCATGACCTATGTAATCTTAGGCAAGTCAACTCTATGAGCCTCAGTTTCCTCTTCTGTAAAATGGAAAGGTTGGACTAGATATCCTCGGAGGTCCCTTTCAGCTCTAGAACTGTAAGCTGGATCACGACTAATGTGAAAATATACTTAATATGAATGTAGAAGTAGAGCCTATTATCAGGTTGCACGCCATCTTGGGGAGAGGCAAGGAGAGGGAGAGGGAGAAAATTTAAAACTCAAAATCTTATGGAAGTGAATGTTGGAAACTAAAAATAAAGAAATTATTTAAAAAACAACAACTGTAAGTCGGGCTTTGAAGGACGGGTCAGACCGCACCTGGTACGGAGGGGAAAGGACATTCCAGGGGTAGGGGCAGAATAAACATGAGCATTGTCAAGACTCCCACTAATGCTGCAGGGAAGGGGACCCCAAGCCCCCAGGTTACAGGCAGGTGACTGACTGCCTGGCTGACGTTTGGGCGACCAAGCACCCCGAGGAAAGAAGGGCCCTTCTCTTCTCCCGGACCCTGGGATCCTACCTTGGTTGAGGGTGATTGGGTCGGACCACCTCGTCTCGGCCTTGGGTTGGGTGCTGCTGTCCATCACAAGAAACTTCACTCTGGGGAGACACCGAGGCAGTCAGCGAAGGAGAGTCAGAGGCTCTGAGCCCGCTGCGGCCCTCAGAGCTCGGGCGTCCCGGAAGCTCAGGCACCTAGCGAGCGGTTGATGAGATACCATCTCGCATCACTGGGATCCTAATTTAACTTCTCAGGGTACGCACGGCTTCTCCCTCCACCAAGGGGAGACTCAGTCTCTCCTCCTTCAGGAGGCCTTCCTTGACCGCCTCAGATCACCCTCATCTCCCCTTCCTCAGAACCCCCAAGCCGCCTGCTGTCTGTTACTGATAGCTCAGTCTTCCCTGGGGCTTATGCTCTAATTGTTCAACTGCACGCTTCCTGAGGGCAGGAGCAACCCCAGAGGATCCTAATTTGGAGCTGGAGGAATCTCACCATCTAGTACAATTCTCTCATTTTACAGATGAGGAAACTGAGGCTCATCAGTCAAATGATTTCACAGCTTCCCAGTGGGGTTTGGTCATAGGCCCATAGGGAAGGGCCTTAGAGACCATGAGTCCAACCCTAAGGAAATGGAGGCCTAGAGATGGGACGTCACACTGGCAGGTGATGTCAGTGTCAGAACTTGAAGTCTTGGCCTTGGACTCCAAGTTCAGCTGCTCCCACGGCACCACGTTGGCCGTGGTCTCTTCTCTTGTTTCTCTTCCCTTCCGTCCACTGGCCCCTGCCTCCAACTCCCCCATATACACCCATTGGTCTGAGCACAGAGCTCAACCCACAAAGAAAGCTATGCACAAACTCATGGCTTGAAACTTGAGCCAGTAAGAACTGGAAATGGAGAGGATGCCCATCAATTGGGGAATGGCTGAGCAAGTTGTGGTATATGGCTGTGACAGAATATTATTATGCTTCGAGAAAGGATGAGCAGGATGATTTCAGGAAAACCTGGAAAGACTTACATGAACTGAGCAGAACCAGGAGAACACTGGACACACAACAGCAACACTGTACAATGACCAACTGGGAATGCCTTAGCTCTTCTCAGAAATACAATGACCGAAGACAATCCCCAAGGACTCATGTTGGAAAACGCTACCCAACCCTAGAGAAAGAACTGTGGCATCTGAATGCAGATCGAAGCAGACTGTTTCTCGCTTTCTTTCCTTTTTTCTTTTTTTTGGTTCTATTTTCTTCCACCAAATGACTAATATGGAAATAGGTTTTGCATGATTGTACATGTATAACCTATATCAGACTGCTTACTGTCTCAGGAGAGAGAAGGAAGGACAGAATTTGGAATTCAAAACTTTAAAAAAAACCTAATATTACAAACTGTTTTTACAAGTAATTGGGGAAAAATTAAATATTATTTTAAAAAATTACACATAGGCTCACATAAAAAAAAGAAAGAAATGTGAGCCAGCCCCCTCCTCACCTTGCACACAGGATCCCAGATCTAGAGAGGGAAAGGCCTTAGAGATCTAGCCCAACCTAAGCATTTCATTTACTTTTTCAAGCTAACTTTTACTGATGCCTTAGTTTTTAAGTCATTCACCCTCCCAACGTGTGAGAGAAAAACAAACGTTGATTGTGTCTAACAATGAATGCAACTTGCTTTCTCATTTGTAAAATGGGGCTAATAATCGCACCTTCCTCCCAGGGCTGTTCATGTAATCATGGATTATGGGCTGGAAGGGACTACAGAGGCTGTGGAGTCCACACCCCTCAATTTTACAGATGAGGAAATGGAGCTGGGCAAAACTAAAGTGACTTGCCCAAGATCACACAGCTAGTAAATATCTGAGGCAGGATTTGAACTCTGGTCTCCCTGGCTCCAAATCCAGTCACCCCATGAGGATCAAAGACATACCATGAAAAAACATATGGCAAGTCTTGAAGAGCTCTATAAGTGTTTTTGTTCAGTCATGTCTGACTCTTCATGACCCCATTTGGGGTTTTCTTGGCAGAGACACTGGAGTGGTTTGCCATTTCCTTCTCCAGCTCATTTTACAGATGAGGAAACTGAGGCACACAGGGTGAAGTGACTTGCCCAGGATCACACAGCTAGTAAGTGTCTGAGGCCACATTTGAACTCAGTTCTTCCTGTCTCCATTCCCAGCACTCTATCCACTGCACCGCCCAGCTCACCATGTACACATGTTAGCTAGCCACTGTCTATACTGATCTCCTTTCTGGTTCTTTTATTTCATTTTTTATCAGTTCATTAAAATTTTCCCAAGTTTCTCTGAGTTCCTCAAAGAAATAATTTCTCATAGCACAATAATACTCTGTTACTTTCATATACAGGCGTGAAAGCCAGCATTTATAGAGCTGAAGGTTTGCAAAGCACACAGCCTTGAGAGGAAAGTGCTATGATCAGCCCCATTTCACAGATGAGGCACCTGTAAAATAGATCACCGTCTACTCTGCCATGTTCCAGTCAATAGGCACCACCCTTGTTTCTAGTTCATTGCTACAAGAAAAATGCTGCTATGTATGGAAACTGTTTTATTCCACTTTGACAACCTTGATGTAGATGGGGATCACTGGGTCAGAGGGTGTGAGTAGGTTAGTCATTTTCTCCAACATTTCCAGAATGGCTGGGCCATTTAGCTCCACTAACAATGTATCTGTTTGCCTATCTGCCCCACAGCTGCTCCAGCACTGACTTTATTTTTTTTATTTTTATTTTTTTTTTGCTAGGCAATGGGGTTAAGTGACTTGCCCAGGGTCACACAGCTAGTAAGTGTTAGGTGTCTGAGGCTGGATTTGAACTCAGGTCCTCCTGAATCCAGGGCTGGTGCTCTATCCACTGCGCCACCTAGCTGCCCCTGACTTTATTTTTCTTTATGGGGCTTTTTCTACTCTGTTTTGCAGAGAGCCTACTCAAGACCAAGCAGAGCTGACAGGGCCACAGAGAGAGTCAGGGCTGGCTTTCGCAGAAGACCACACATTGGGGCTCACCTGTAAGGGCCAGGGTCCAGGAGGGGAGCGTTACAATACTCCTGACTTAGGTTTTGGAGGCACCTGGTGTCACTGCCCACACGGAGAACAGCAATGTCTTCTTTCTCACATGGGTAGTGGTCGGGAGACAACTTCAGGGTCATGTAGTAAAAGCTCATGGGCAGTCTGGTGTAGGAGGGGATATCTGCTGCAGTCTTAGGGTTCTGGAAACCCTTGGTGGCTAGAAGTAGGAGAGAAAGGGAGACCTTGGCAAGTCCCAGGAGTAGGACCCTAAGCTCTGCTCAGGGCTTGAGCCCTCATCCCCTACAGTAGACCCTCATCCCTTCGCGCTTGGAGCCACCATCAGAAACCCTTCCTAGGTGACCTGTTGCTACCCTGTGATAATCCCCTCATTCCCAAATCCCACTCCATTGGCTAATCTGGCTTTAAGATACCCTCCCACGTAGGAACTGTTTTGTGTTATTCAAGTAGGGGAAAAACAGAAACATCTTAAACTCTCAAAGGAATGAATCCCTAAGGGTATAATTTCAGACACGGTGGTGGAGGAGATGCTTTGGGCCTGAGGATCTCACCCTGGTGGGCATCTGTCTCTGTCAGCTTCCCGAAAGACTCACCCAGGGCTGGGAGGACATGCCTCCTCTGTCCCGACCCGCCCCAGTCCACCAGACAAACCATTGCTGAAGGCGACCACCAGCCAGATGGCATCTGTTGAATTGGCATGCTCCGTGAAGATGCATCTCGGCTGGTCCAGGGAGAAGGTGGTTGAAGTGACCTTTCCCTCTAGGGCAAGGGGGGAGATCTGAGGAGTGTACGGGATGTGATCTGCAGAAAACCAGAGACAGGCATGAGCACTTGGGAGGGTGACTGTTGGGTATTCAGTGCTCTTGACATCTCTCCTGGCAGGGATGTGGGCAGATGATTGAAGGAAGGTTAATGAAAGAGAGTGTGGCATAATGGAGAGATGGATTTTGAGTCAGAGGACCTGGGTTCAAATCCCAGGTCTGCTACTTACTAGCTGTGTGACCTTAGGGAAATTACACTTACCTCATCTGTGCCTCAGTTTCCCCACATGTAAAATGAAGGAGTTGGACTAAATGACATTCCTTCCAGCTCTAAATCTCTGATCCTGCAAACACTTAGAAAAGGAAGCAATGAACACAGTGAGCCTCTGGGGCATTATCCAAGAATGGATCATCACACCAAAGGAACTAGATCGGTAGGTGAAGGGAATGCCATAGACAATAGGATGCCGAGGTTTCTGCGTTGCATGTGACAGAATCTTTACGTTATTGGGAAAGGGGAGTGACAAGCCAGATTGCAGTTAGGTGGATGCAGCCAAAACAGCAAAGTACCCTGAATTTGGAGCTGAAAGTCATCCTTTGACATGTGAGGAAACTGAGGCACAAGCCATTTGCTAATAATCACAAAGCCACAAGGTGTCCGGGGTGGGATTTGAACTCGAGTCTTCTTGACTCCAAGTCTAGAACTCTATCCACCATACTCTGCTGCCTCTCTAGTCAGTTACAAATACAATACAGAGGGAGGGCTCCAGTGATCTATGCTTGGTCCTACACTGGTCAACGTTTTTAAGAATGACTGGGATGAAGGTGAACATGGCATACTTGTCAAATTTCCCAATGACACAAAGCTTAGAGGAGAAACATCATCTTTGGTGAGTGACAGGGTTGGAACTCTCACCCACCCGTAATCTTCATGGGCTAGAAGGATGGGCCAAGCGGAATATGAAGGAGTACCAAAAAACCCCCAAACTTTTCTACTTGGGTTCTAAAAGTAACTTCCCAAGTACAGGACAGGGGAGGCATGGCTCTATGGCAATTTGTTTGAAAGAGAACTTGGGGTTTTAGTGGACCACAAGCTCCCCGTGGGTCTATAACAGTGAAATGTGACAGGAAAAAAGCTCGTGTGATCTGGGGCTGCATTGAAAGGTATAGCCAAGGAAGGGACAGTCAGTCCCCGAGTCCTCTGCCCTGGCTAGGCCGCACTCAGAGTCACATGGTCAGTTCTGGGCACCATATTTTAGGAAGAACATTGACAAGCTGGAGCGCATACCAAGGAGGGAAGTCAGGATGGTGAAGGGCTCTGGGATTATTCATACCTTGCAAAGACCAGTTGAAGGAAGTCAAGATGGTTATCCTGGAGATGAGAAGACTGGGGATTGGGAGAGCTGAGGTGGGGACATGTTACCTACAGGAGGTAGAATGTAAGCTCCCCGAGGACAGGGCTGATTTCATGCTTCCCTTTGCAAGGCAACGCACGGTCCTTGTATGTTCTGGGGAGGACTAGACTTGTGATCTCGGTCTAGGGAACGCCCCTGGCCAAGGCAGACCCGCCGCATGTGTCAGTGACAGGATCTGAACCCGGCTCTTCCCAACTCCATCATTCATTACACCACAGCGCCTCATGGCGTGGGCTCCTAAGTGCACAGAACCGTGTTCCCCCAGGCAGGCAGCGTAGTGCCTGCACTGAAGATCAGGGTTCCAATCCCGCCGCTGCCACTTATTCCTGCATGACCTTAGCCTCCCCACGTCCTGGTTCCTCAACTGTAAAATGAGGGGGTTGGACTTGATGGCCTCAAAGGGCCTTTCCAGCTCTGTCCATGGTCCTTTGAGCCCAAGACTGTCTCGTCCATGCTCCTGCCTCCTCCTTATCTCTCCATCTCACCTCCCACCTGCTGATGCCCGCCACACCCTTCCCTTGGACTTGACAGCTCAGAACATGTGTCTGGTCAGAAGGCGGCCTTAGGAAGCTCCCTCCTCGACGGCTGTCCTGCAGGGACGCCCCCTACTCTGGAGTCTGTGGGGCCCTGCCCTGACTGTAATACCTGAGGGAGTCTCACCTCCCCTATCAGACCGGGAGCCCCGACTGGACGGTCTCCTCTTTGCTGCCCCGGTCTCACTGGGCTAACACCAGCTGAGGCGAGCTCAGGCGAGGCCGCCGACGGCCACCGCCACCGTCAACGCTAGCGTTCCTATAGCGTTTCTAAGGTTCCCAAAATCCCTTCTATCCATTATCTCACTTACTGACAGCTAAGATTTACAGAGCACCTACTACATGCCAGGCCCCGTGCTGAGCACTGCACGATGGTTATCTCACTGGATCCTCACGACAACCCTAGAAGGCAGGTGCTGTTCTTATTCCACCCATTTTACACATGAGGAAACAGAGGCAAACAGAGGTGAAACGAGGTGCCCCGAGTGTCTGAGGCTAGATTTGAACTCGGGTTTTCCTGCCTCCAGACCTAGCCTCCCTTTAATTATTATGATTAATTATGATTAATGATAATTAATTAGAGGGGATGCCTTAATCCTAATATCACAGGACCCTAGACCTAGCCCCTAGGAAGGGACCCCAGAGGCCACCAAACCTACCTCCCTTTACAGAAATGGAAGCTGTCTCTCACCACCCTTTTCTCCTTTATGGGGGACCCAGGTGAAAAGGTCACTGATGGGGGGAGGAGAAAGAAAGAGAGGACAAGGGGCACCTCCGAATTCTGCTGATAACAGCTGGGCGGCACGTAAGTCCCATGCCTCCTCTATGTCTCCTAAAGAGATACTGGATCATGGGGCATGTGCTGGCTGCCCAGCTCCAACAACCAGATTTTCCTGTCCCCGTGACCCTCAGCCTACTTCCTTCCTCAATGACTGGTCCCAGGCGCTTTTCAGCAAGCCCCCACAGAACTGAGGGGACAGGGAAAAATAGGATCCTGGAACTGGGAGGGAACTCAGAAAGCCATCTGCTCCAACCCCTTCATTTTGCAGATGGGGAAACTGAGGCCAGGGAAATCAGGTGATTTGCCCAAGGTCACGCAGGTAGTCAATGACAGAGGCAGGACAATGCCATCAGGTCGACAAGGAGCTCTCCTCCCCTACAGCCCTGTGAGGCAGGTAGGACCAGTACTATCATCCCCATTTTACAGGCAAAGAAACTGAGGCAAAGAGGTTCAGTGAATTGTGCAGAGTCACACAGCTAATAGGTATCAAAGGGAAGGCTGGAAACACACTCTCTTGACCCGAGGTTTGATCCACCTGGCCACGGCTCAAGGCCTCACCATCCCCTGGGAAGGATTATCTGCCCCAGAATGATCCTCCACAAGGTCTCAAATCTGACCAGTAGTTTCATTACTCTGGATAAAGTCACTGCTCCCTGTTAAAACGTCCTCGAACAGCAGGTCATCATTAACACCTCAGTGTGACTGAGTTTACAAATTCCTTTCCCATCAAGAACAGATTTCCCTGGAGGAGAGAGAGGATGGGGTGGCCAAAAGAAGCTGGCGCTAGTCCCTTGAGGGAGGCAGGAGGGACACTGGGGCCAATCACAGCCTTTGACACTTGCTGCCCGGATGACCTTATCTGGGCCTCAGTTTCCTCCTGTGGAGACCATTTCATTTTTGCCTGAGTCATCTCAGCACCAAGTACCTTGCACCTAGCAGGTGATTCATAAATATTTGTTTTTTAAAACCCCATGAAATGGAATGCTCCATCCTTCAAATGACCAAGCTTGGCCCAGAGAGGAGCTGAGAGAAGGCACCTGGCTCCCATCTTTGCCCACGTTGGGGGATTATGGGAGGGGATGAGCCACTCAATCTCCATCGGCCTGGGGGCTTGCTTAAAGATCTCTCAGGAAAGGGTGGGAGGAAGCAGGCTCAGACTCAAGAGTCTAGCCCAAGGACCGCCCTTCTTGAGAGTCCGGAAGCTCCAGATGGAACAAGGATGGGGCCGAGTGGGGGACAGCTGGGTGGGAGCTAGTCAGAGTTCAGAGGCTTTTCCTTCCCTTCTGTCATAGTCCAGCCATCTACTTCTCAGTCCTGAAGACCGGTCATGGGTGTGTGCGTGAACAGGGTGAGACCCAAGCTTGAGACTTGTCCCAGGGCTCGGTGACCAGTCTTCTGGCCCTCATCAATAATTAACAAAAATTCTCAAGCCCCATTCAGGTAGGCTGCATCCCCAGGACCCCAGGCCCAAGTTAGCCTGGGCTACCCGCATGATGGGGATGGTGTTCAGGGACAGCTTGGTACAGCAGATGGGCCCCAGCAGAAGAGGGGGAACCGATGGGTTTTGGGTTTGGGGGTTTTTTTACATTTATATTTTTTGTTCTCTATCACCTTCAGTTCTAATATCTCCAGGAATGTGCCAGAGGCAGCTCAAACCAGTTCAGGCTATCTGATTATTAAATGTTCAGTGTAAATCCAGGCATGATTTTTTTTTGTTTACTGTCTAGATTAAGCATTGTGGGGGCAGCTAAGTGGCGAAGTGGATAAAGCACTGGTCCTGGAATCTGGAGGACCTGAGTTCAAATCTGCCTTCAAACACTAGCTGTGCGACCATGGGCAAGTCACGTAATCCCAATTGCCTCCAAAAAACAAGCGTATTTTGGATACATTTTTTTCTGTCCATACTCTCCTGAATACCTACTTCCTAACTCTTCTATCTATCAAGCCATCCCTGCATAATAAAACATTTTAAAAGGTTACAAAACAGCAATTCAGCAAACCAGCCGAATCTGACAGTCTATACAATATCCCACACCCATAGTCCCCACACCTCTGCAGAGGAGGGCAGCAGGTGCCTCTTCTCAATTCCTCTTGGGGGGACCCGAGATTCTAAGTCCTGCTCTGCCTTTATCTCTGTGACTTGACTGGGCAAAGCCCTCTGGGCCTCAGGGTCCTGCCTATGCACCATGAAGAAGCTGGACCAGAGAATGTCTATGTTCATTCTGGCTCTCACAGTGTGTGACTGTGAATGTGAAAAATGAGGCCAACCCCCTCATTTTACCACGCAGGAAACTGAGGCCCAGAAAGAAGTGACTAGCCCAAGGTCACAGAGAAAGTGGCAGGGGTAGGATTTGAACCCAGCTCTTCCAACTTAAAATCTGGTGTCTTTCTGCTGCATGAGGTTGGCATCATGTGGGTGGGAAGCATTCTTGCTCTTTTCTTATTAATAGGAAGAAGGAATTTGTCCTACAGGGGAACCTCCTAGAAAAGCACTAATCCTGGAACCCTGGGACCTGGGTTTGAATCCCAATTCTGCCCTTGAGCAAATCCCTCACTGTCCTAAGGCCTCAGTTTCCCCCTCTGTAAAATGGGAGGGTTGGACCTCTGTGACGCCTTCCATCTCCGGCTCCATTATCCTCTAATCTTCTCCGAGACTCAGTTTCCTCAACTGTAAAATGAATGGTTTGGATCACATGACCTCTGTGTCGACTCCCTGGCTCCATTCACAGAGTGCCTGAAGGTTACAGAATTTTCAGAGAAAGGCAGCATCTTTATCTTGATTCTGTACAGCGCTTAATTCAGACTGAGCCGAACCAAGCCTTGTCCCCTTTGGGGACCTATGTTAATGGATACTCTCCGTGGAGAGCAAAAAACGGAAAATCAAAAATAAATAAAGATCCTCACCCCCAGTGGCCTGCTGCCTCAGTGAACATTTTCTTCATAGTGAATTATAATAATAAACAGCTAATATTTTTATACCACTTCGAAGTTTACAGAACACTTTGTGGCAAACAATCCTTTGGGGTAGGTAGTGCAAAGATTATTCCCGTTTCACAGATGAGATACTGAGTTCCTTGTCCAAAGTCTCACATCTATGAAGTGTCAGGGCTGGGATTCAAACAGGTCTCTCCTGTCCCCAAGGTAAGGAGGTCAGACTCAGGCTGGGTAACCAGCTGGAGTGCATGGGGTGGTGTTAACGCTTTACTCTCTGGCTGGATCTCTGGCAGCCGTATCAGGGGCCCCCTCTCCAGATCCCCAGGTCCCCAGCACACTCACCCAGGCTGGTCCCTGTGTGGTTACTGATAAGTAACAGAAGCAGCAAGAGGTGAGGGTCCTGGGCTCGCCCCATGGCCTCAGTGGACAAAGCTTCTGATGGTGGCTGGAGGAGGGGTGGTGACGTCTGTGCTCCTGGCTGGGTCTTGGTCTGGGCAGGAGGGGCAGGAGGCCCATGGGAAGGAGGCTCAGTCTGCTCTGAGGGGCCTCATCTAGCTCCCTTCTTTCCTAAGGTGCTCACAGCCCCCTCCCCAACAGACAGACACACACCCCTGGTCCGGGAGGAATGGAGATGGATGGACGAGCTGGTCGGGCAGGTTGTCTGGACAGTCTGAGGCTAGAAAAACCTGTACGCAGAACTGCCTCCCCTCTCTAGCTGCAGGAGGGGCCTGTGGAAGGGCACGTGGGTGAGATCAGTACCAGGTGGTACTCGGCTGAGCCTCCCCCCAAGGGAGGGGCCCTCGGCTTTCTGCTGGAGCCCTGGACACCCCAGTCCCCAGCCCCCCGATGTCCAGACTTCTAAATCCAGCTGGTGAGGGGTGGGCAGTGGGGGGCAGAGGTGGGCAGAACTCTCCCCTACTCTCTGCCTCAGCTGGGCCTAACTAACCCCAGGTTCAACTCAAACTGGGCATTACTGAAATTCCTGGACGCAGGCATCACAGGGCTCAGGAGCTCTCCCTCCCACCTCGGATGATTTATCTTCTCCCCTCGTCCGCCCCACCCTGGGGCCCTCCGTGGCTGGCTGCTGACCCACTCAGAGAGCTAGAAGCTGTTCCTCGGTTTCTAGCTCGCAGGAGCCTCTTTCTGAAGTTGCTCTGCAAGCGCTTATTAAGCACCTACTATGTGTCAGGCACGGTGCTAAGCTCTGGACAACACAAAGAAAGGCAAAACCACTGTCCCTACTAACCATCTTCCTGGAGCTACGGTCCTAATGGGAGACATGCAAATACCTGCTGGGAGCTCCAGGTATGGTTTGGGGAGTTCATGCTTATCCTCCCTGAATCCCACTCTCACAAGTGAGAGACCCCAGGGCAAGTCCCTTCAGTATGCTGAGCCTCAGTTTCCCCATCTGTAAAATGGCGACTTAAAAACAGCCTCTGATGACCCTAAAATCTTACGTTCCTAAACATGGTTCCATAACCATGCCCATCACATCGAGTCTGAGGCCACTGTGCTTACATCACTCCAATATTAAGTTTAGTGAGCGGTGGGACGCCATCCAGGCACTTTGCCCCCACCCCTCTCACCAAACCCAGCCAGACTGGCCTTTAAAACAAGATTCCCCAAATGTGGGGATGGACATCGGTGGTGGCCCTTCACCACTAAGGGAAGGGGTGCTGGGAAATCTCAGATCCCCCTCATGTCATCAAACTAGGACTAGCAAGAAAGGCCACAAGCCCCTTTTCCCACCATGAAGGAGTTTAACTGTCAGCCAGCTGCCAGATTCCCCAGGCATGAATCAGCCCCACTCCCTAGGTCCTGGCTCCTTGCTTCCCTCCCTCAATGCCTGACCCAGATAAGGACCTTGTAAAAACCCACCAGAATCGAGTGGTTTGGGTGTCCCCTTCCAGGGGCCCTCAGAGGACCTGAACTGTTTCCATCCCCCCCGCAACAAGGCCAGCCCGCTCTCTGATGACTGTCTTGCTGTGGCCTCCACATTTCCTTGTACTGATTTAGGGCTAGAAGGAACCTATCCCAGCCTCCTTCTTTCTTCCTCTCTTTTTTCTTTTCTTCTTTTTCCTCTTCATTTCTTTAAAAATTAATTTTTTAATCTTGAATTTAACCCCAAATATCGGGCATTTCCCTATACGTAGAACTGATGAAGAGGCTTGTACATGAAACTGTGAATTTCTCTTATCTAGAGCTTGCTTTTCTTTTAAAGTATAACAAATCAACATACAACTTTCCAAAGTTGGCCTCTTTGTGAGTCTTCCCAGCTTTCTGTTCTGTTCTCTGTGCATTTTTTAAAAAATGCTCCAATGACCCCTTTTTCTTTCTTTTTGACTACCCTAGCCCTAACTCTCCTTGTTCCTAAATCATCCACTTCTCCAAAATTACTACAAAGAAAAACAGAAACTTTGCAAAAACAGAGTCGAGGGAAACAAAGGCCACGTCTAAAAATGTATGCCTCGGGGCAGCTAGATGGCACAGTGGATAGAACACTAGCCCTGAAGTCAGGAGGACCTGAGTTCAAATCCTGCCTCACACCAAACACTTGACACTTACTGTGTGACCTTGGACAAGTCACTTAACCCCAACAGCCTAAAAATTAAAAAAGAAAGAAAGAAAGAAAAACGTATGCCTCATTCTGCATCATGAGCCCTTCCCCTCTCTGTCAGGAGGTAGGGAGCAATACCCTGGCATTATGGTTGGTCTTTGCATTGATGAGAGTTCTCAAGTCTTTTAAAGCTGCTTCTCTCTGCAATGTTAGTTATCGCATCCATTGCTCTCCCGGTTCTGAACTTCACTCTGTATCAGTTCAAACAAGTCTTCTCACATCTGTCATCTCTTACGGCACAATATTCCATTAGTCATGTGCCACCATTCTTCAAGAGACAGGCACCCCTTAGTTTCCATTTCTTTGCCCCTACAAAAAGAGCTACAATAAATATTTGTATACATTTGGGCCTTTTTCCTTCTTTCTTTGAAGTCTTTGGGATATAGGCCTAGTACCAGTATCACTGGGTCAAAGGGCATGGCCAGTTTAACGGCTCTTGGGGTGTGGTTCCAAATTACTCTCCAGAATGCTGCCCAATTTGCTCTGCCCCACTGCATTAATGTGCTTGCTTTCCAACACTTGTTATTTTCCTGTTTGTCACCTTTGCTAATCTTATGGATGTCAGGTAAAACCTCAGAGTTGCTCTAATTTGCATCTCTCTAATTAGTAGTGATATGGAACATTTTTTGCATGCAGTTGATAGCTTGGATTTCTTCCCTTGAAAACTGCCTGTTCGTATCTTTTGACCATATTGGGGAATGGCTCTTCTTATAAATTTGAACCAGTTCCTTAGATATCTTGCATAGAAGACCTTTATTAGAAACTTTCTGCAAAGATTTCACTCCCCCACCCCCCCCCCCCCCCCCCCCCCCCCACCCCAGTGAAATGATTCCCATCTGATTTTCACTGCTTGGGAACGGACATTTCGGTCACTTTCTTAGCATGGTTCCAAAATGCTTCCCAGAATGATTGGACCAAGTCACCTCTACCAACAGAGCGTTACTGTGCCTCACTTTCCACAGCATTTTGCCGAGTATATGCTTTTTTAATTCTTAAATTACCAATTAAAGTAAGCCAATATATTATTAGCTGCCTTACTTCTGGTAATTAAAGACCTGTTGCCCTCCTCCCTTCCCCTATAACTGTGGTATGCCTCTGACTGAGATTTGTGATCTAGTGCAAAATCCTCATCATTTCCTTTCTGTCCAGGTAGACCGCCATGTTCTTCCGGTTTCTCTGACATCCTTACTCTCACCTCCCACATCCAGGCTGTAGCCAGGGCCTGTCGATTCTATTTTTTGGAGGATGAGGGAAGAAGCTCAGATGTTTTAGGCCCCTCCCCAGTGACACTTCTTTGAAAGGATGCAATGTCATTGTCCTCCCTCAAACTACCATTTCTATTACATTTATTCTCTCTCCACCTGCCGGTGTACATGTTGTTTTCCTCAAGTGAATGTAAGTTCCTTGAGGGCAGGAGCTTTTTCAACTTGTCTTTCTGGCCCTCGCACCAGCATGCAGAAGGTGTAGTAGGCATGCCTGTGGATTCCTGACCCTTTGCACTTCAGTACTGGCTTTTAGCTCAGTCCCTCGATGGGTATCTGTCCCTGGGACTGGCTCTCACTATAAAATCGATGGCCAGCAGGTAAGGGAGAGATTCACATACTGGCCCAGGATTTGCAAAGCTGTCTGTTCACAACGGGGAGCATCGTGCCCATTATGCAGATGAGGAATTTGGCCCCGGAGGCAGGCCCACGATTGCCGAGTCAGAGTTAGAGGCTAGTCTGACTCCCAAGCCAGTCCTCACCCTCACCCCCCAGGACGGTACCATCAGTCTCTCGCCCCCATTAGTACGACCTCTCCACACTCTGATCAGTCTCTCTGTCAAGTGTACCACAAGGGGGTCCAGCACAAAGTTGAGCACACGTGATGTGGAAAACTCTTTGTACCAAGAAGCATCACAAGAAGAATCGAATAGAGGAAGTCAGCTTTCTCGGGAGCGGGTCAGCTCACGTCTGGAAGGCAAGCACTGTGCCCTCACCCCGAGTCCTACGTTCACGAAAGACCTGGGGTTGTGGGAGGGCAAGCCACACCCCTGAAGTATGTGTGTGCATAAGAAAGTAACCGAGCCACGTGCTTATAGGTATTTCGAGTTTATTGCAAGAAAAAAAAAAGTATAGAAATTCCTAAAACCAGCAGTGAGGTATGAAGGAAGAGCCGACCCAGAGCCCATCAAAATGGGTGGGCGAGGGGTCGTCCCCTCAAAGGACGCCAGGCTGGATCTGCAGGCACCACTGCTCCGGAGCCCGCCACAGCCAGCACACAGAACGGGCCTGGACTCATCGAGGTAGCTGCATCTTTTGGACCCGCCAGATGACTACCCAGGCTTCTGCCCTTTTCTGTGGACAGATCAAGCACAGTAAGTCAAGATGTGCAAACTAGGAAGAATTCCAGGCACCCAGTGTGACAAGATGCCCCGCGCGCACGGCATCGACATCTCGGAGGATTATTTTGACCTTAGATAAAAACGACCTCTCGACTGCTTGGTCAATGACCAGCCCCCAAATGCGTTATTGCTCCAAACAGGACGAGGGAGGAGATGGGGCCGTGAGGCGGTGCGAGTTAGAGGGTCCCTTGGGGCGGAGCCGGTGTCTCGGTCCTAGGGACTCCAGGACGTCACTCCTTGAGACAGTCTTCAGTCACTCCCTGCGCGGCCAGCTCGGCCAGCACATTGTCCAGGTAGTTGGGGTCAGGGTAGCCATGGCCGGTCACATTGTGACCCATCTCTGTCTTGTGGTGGATCTCATTCCACACCACCGTGTCCGCTTCACCCGTGGTGTTCGAGGTTCCAATCGTGAAGATCAGGCGCCTCTTCCAGGCCACCTTCAGGAGTTCCAAAACCTGGGCGGGAAGGAGGGGAAGGTGAACCAGCTGCCACAGAGCAAGCTGAGCCCTCTCTAGAGGCAGAAAAGGTCCCGGCCTTCAGAGTTTACTGGCAAGGACACTGCCCTTCAGGTGTGACTGCCTGAAGCCTCACAGAATCTTAGCTCCCAAGGGGTCTTTCAACATCCTAGCAAACTGCATAAGCCTCAGATTAAGGCAGGTGCTATCAGTATTCCTGTCTTACAGAGGAGGAAACTGAGGCGCAGAAACACTAAATGATTTGCCCAAGGTCGCAGAGCTAGTAAGTATCTGAAGTAGAATCTACAGTGGAGTATTAGCACCCACACATGTTTCTGCATGGGAAAGCTCAGTTTTCATTGGCAAAGAGCTGGTAAAATTTTCAATTAAGAGGAAAAAGAAGAAAGGGCCTCAGGGGGCTCTCATCAGGTAGCCGTAAGGCACTCCAGGTGGGAGGCTCAGGGAAATCTGAAGAGGGGCGCTGACTTCAGTTGCCCTTGGGGAAGCCAGGTACTGCAAGGGGCCAATGGCTGGGGAAATCACTGCAAGGCCACAGCGTGGCTTTTATCTAAAGCTTGTTATCTCCCCCAATGCCTGGTTCTACACACAGTAGGCGCTTTGTACATATTTGGTGAATGAGAGGCTCCGAATTTTCTCTGCAGCCTTCTTCCCTTCTGTCACCAATTCTCTCAAGCACAAGTTTTGTTTAAAGAGACACAGGATGAAACACTCTCTCTTTTCAAATGTGACTAACCATTCAAATGGGATTGAACCTGATAATTATGTGAAGTGTTTTACAAACCTTAAAACACGATATGGTGACCATCACTGTTACTGTTGTTCAGAAGTCATGCACCTGGCTCAATGACTGACCCTAAAACATCACCTCCAAAATGCCTGCTCTGAAGTGACACAAGGTCACAACTGTGCAGCTAGGTCTTCCAGGGGGCAAGGGGTGGGGGGTCAGGGCACAGGACATCCATGGCCCAGTGCAGAATGATCCATGCTAACCACCTGAATAGACCAATCTAGACTGCTTGTGACTAAAACCTGAGGAAGCCAAAAAACCAAAACCATCTTAAACCTTTGGAGGGAAAGAATAGAAATGAAATCTGTGGCAGAAAAGATTCACTGACATGGGCAGTGCAGGGCAGGGCCGGGGGTGGCCCTTGGCCCACGGTGGCCTTGCAGGCTCTGAGATGCCAGCAGGCTCTGCTGCTCCTTTCTGCACCTGGTTTCAGCCTGAGAGAACCCGGCACAAACAGAGCTCTGGGCCTCCCTGGATTCTCTTCAGCAATAGGGCTTCCTCTGATTAAGGGGAGAGTCCCCAGGCTGGAGCGAGAAGGCAGCACAAGGCAGCAGCCTCCTTCTCCTACCAGGCAGATAATGCAGGTAAATTCTTTACTCCACCGGAATCACAGTCAAGGAATCGGAATGGGACAAGAGACACTAGCTAGTGCAAGCTCCTCGTGTTACTGACGGGGAGCCCGAGGGCCAGTGAGGTCAAAATGAGACAACAGGTGAGCACCAAAGCCAGTGTCTGCATTTGAGGGGCTCGATCCCTGGATCTGTGGTATTTGCATCCCACCATTCCTGTTCCACATCTTCAGAAATTACAACTAAAAATTACAAACTAAGTCAAGAACAGAACGCCTTTCTTTACCTTTCTACCCTGGGCATTGTCAGGGAGATAGCAGTGACGGGGAAACCCCCTGGCTGTGAATGGCTTTCCTGGGTTCGGATGCTCAGGACCCTGCAACAGGAAAACACAGACATGGAGACTGCGCCCCTCAGATGTCAAGGCAAATGAAGCAGGTGCAGTTGTAGTATTTGAATCCCATATCCGAGGGTGCCCCTGACCGTACCCCCCCCCGGGCTCTGGGCACTGTGGCTTTGGTTTCCAGGCCGGGGCTGCCTGACCTCTCTACCACTTCACCTTTCACCTGCCAGCACAGGATCAAAGAACCCCCCCCCCCCAATTCTACACACCCTTTCTGACACTTCTGTGACTGCTCATGCCAATTCCTTTTCAATTCCACAAACGTTAACCACCAACTGTACGCAAAGGACTCTAGCTCCAAAAGCGCTCTAAGACACAGTCCCTCCTGCCACAGGGACTCGCGGCCTCCGAAGCCTCAGTGCCTCTACTACTTAAAAGGAGACTCCAGACCCTTTACCCCAGAGCCAGCCTTGTTCTCAACCCGCCTTCTCCAGGCGTCCGGGCCTGTCCCACAGCTAAGTGCTTCTCCCAGCCAACGACTCGCCCCATTTCCTGGTTTCCCTTCAAGCACCTTCGGGGAGGATTTGCTGAATTCAGCCAGAAACCTTCTCTCTGGTCTAGGGCAATATGCACGGCGAAGTCAGGGTGACGTGAGTCTGAGCACGTCAGAACAAAATGGAACCAGAGGCACGTGGGGGGACACACTCTGGCTGGTCAGTCCCAGGTGCCCTGCCTGGAAGCCCGAGGGGCAGGTGAAGGGGCAGGACGTTTCAACAAAAACCACCAGAGCAGGGGACTCTCTCCCATGCTGGCTGCCTCCCCCCCTCCCCCGCCTCACTTCCGAGCAAGCAGTGAAGGCCCCGCCCAGCCGGTGCACGAGGGGGCCAGAAGGAGCAGCAGCACAGCGTGTGAGGACCCCAGGGACACACAAAGCCCGAGCCACGCTACCTGAATTCCTCGAGGGATGTTATAAATGATCTCTATCGTCCCGCAGTCTTCGTGGCCAGGGAGGGAGGCCTTGAACACAGCAAACTCCATCTTTCCTTTGGGCTGAGTTCCAGTTTTCTCCCCATAGATAGTTTTACAGGAAGGGCACTGAAGGCTTCCGTCCTATGGCAAATCAGTCAGACAGGGCTGTCATTACTCACTGAATCACAGAGGTAAAGAGCGTGAATTTGGCCCACACGGCACCCTTGGAGGCATGGGAACAACCATCCCATTTCACAGGGGAGAAGACAGAGGCTACTTGCCCACGACCTCACCCAGCCAGGAAGTGTCAAGGAGGGATTCGAACCCAGGTCTTTATGGTCACCTCGGGTCTCTCGCCCGGGTGTACCTGGGAATGAAGCCAATTGCCTTAACTTGCAATCCTGAGACCTTTCTAGTACAAATAAGAGAGACAACAGCCCCCTCAACCTTCAGGGGTAGGGGGTGGGGAGGCCTCAGGCGGAGCACAGTCAGCAGGACGAGCCGGCAGTGCCCGTGCCCACCTTGTTCCCAGTCCGGTACATGGCCAGCACGCAGAGCAGATGAAAGGCATGGCCGCATTTGGTGAGCCGCCCCACCACGTCGGGACCGATTTTCTTGCTCTCTATCACATCACTGTAGCCAGAGGAGGCGGACAACTTCTCCATGCAGATGATACAATCCTGCAGACGGACCGAGAAAGGAGAGGAGAGGAAAGGCAATGAGGGAGGTCTACCCAAAGAGCACTGAACTTTTAGGGGAAAGAAGCAAGTACCGGGAAAAAGGAAACCAGTGCGAATTCAGTTAGAGGCAGAAAAATCAAACTCCCGGGTCATATGCTGATGTCAACATGCCTCTTTGCTGCCTCAGATTCTAGATGGTGCTGATAAGCAGCACTTAGCACGGTACCTGGCATGCACTGGGCTATTCAGCCCTGTCTGACTCTGTGACCATTTGTTTTCTTGGCAGAAATACTGCAGCGGTTGGCCATTTCCTTCTCCAGCTCATTTGACAGATGAGAAAACTGAGGCAAATGGGCTTAAGTGACTTGCCCAGGGTCACACAGCTAGTAGGTGTCTGAGGCCACATTTGAACTCGGGATGATGAGTCTTCCCGCCTCCAGGCCCAGCGCTCGTGCACTCTGGCGCCCCCTGGCTGCCAACACACCTGCCTGGCATCAGCAGGTGCTCAATAAATGTCTGACTGATAGACTGTTCACAAGGATGGCGACTCTGACCTGCAGCTGGTGCTCCCTTCACGTTGCCTCCCAGGAAGGCTTCCAGCCAGGGGCGGCACAAGTGAGCAGGGAAGCCTCTGCTCCCACAGTCCTGGCAGGGCACCTAGCCCACAGTAAGCACCCAAACGCTCGCTGACCTGCCTTGCTAGCTGGGCTGTCCCAAGGACAGCCAGCATGTTCCTCCTTCCGTTCGGGTGCACAGCTGCCGTCTAGGCAACGGAAGGCAGTGACAGCAGGCGGGAAGAAAGCATTCCAGCCACGTGGTCGCAGAGCCCACGTCTTCCTCTAGGGGAACACCCCGTTTGGAAGCGGCGCGTGCTCAGCCAGAGAGGAGGGGTGAGCGCGTGACTGCAAAGCCGCTGCAAACACACATGCCCTCCTAACGCCGATTGTGTGGCTCACCTCATCAGGGGGGGTCTTCAGCTCTTCAGAGTAGCTTTTAAGCACCTGCTCAGGCTCCTGCGATGTTGTATCTGAAAAACAAAAGGCCCGAGAGAGGAAGAGCACAGTGTTCTCTGAGGTACACGGACAAGGGGAAACACTGAGGCCAGAGGGAGAAAGAGCAAGTGAGAGAGGTCCAAGCTGCCAGGGGAAAAAAATGAGTGAAGAGGCTAAGACTGGAGAAGGTTAATGGACTAGAGAGAGGAGGCACATCCCGAGAGGCCGCACAGCTGTTCTTTCCATGCACAAGGCCTTGTCCACGACCATTTTCTGGTCAAACCCTCAGTGAGCGAGAAGGGAAGGCAGCAAGAGCTGAGAGCAGCCCCACGCCCGTGCCACCCGCTCAGCTGCACCCTACACCTGGCCTCTGCCGGGGGCATCAGAGGACACCACAATCCTGACTCTAGAACTTGAGCACAGGCTGATGTCACTGCTCGCATGTGCTGAAGCCCCTGATTCCAACTGCTGTGACTTGAGACTCAAAAGTGAGGGCCTCTGAGGGAACTGAGTGCCCCCTGGGACCCTTCCTGGACCAGGATGCCATCGCGGCCGGCTCTAATACAGCTGCCACTCCCATCGCTGAAGCTGCCCTTCAAACATGGCAAGTGCCCGTGCTTCTGCATGGACTAGAGGACCTGCGCACAACGTGCCATTTATTTTGAAGTCAAGTAACTTTTATCCATTCCTGCTGGTCCAGTCCCCTGGGGTCAAGCAGAGCAAACCTAATCCCTCTTCCATTAGGCAGTCATTCAGTGACACAGATCCAGAGCTTCTCCCTCCCTCTGTCAGCCTCTCCTCCCTGGGCTAAAATTCCTAGTGGCTTTGAGGGATTGTTCCAACATGAGACCGAGTCTCTTCCCCATCCTAGTTACTGCTCTGCTATAGCTGTGCAACAAGTAATGGATGGCCTTCCTAAAATGCAGCGTCCAGAACAAAGCAGGGGCAGGTGATTGTAAACAAAGGCTATACGGGAGAGAGCCAGAGTAGGGGGCTCAGACTGAACTGAGAGCCTGCTCCTGCCTCTCTAGCCCGTGCTTCAGATCCACCCAAATGGGGCCACGGCCAGCCCTATCTCTCGGGGTTCTCATGATGTGTAACTAAAAGGATGGACAGAAGAGAGCTCTGTAAAGTGAGGTATAAGTCAGGGGCCTTCATTACTGGGATGAACAAGAAACTCTGAAGCCTTCAGAATGCTGATCAATGAAATGCTCAAAGACAATTCCATCGCACGAGCCAGCTAACATGCTACTGCCTCCCCTCAGTGAGGGGCTGGGCTCAGCATGCAGGACAAGACAGCTATTTTTGGTCATGGCCAGTCTGGGAATTGGTCTGGCAAACTTTGCACATTTGTCACAAGGGTTTTTAATTTCTTCAGCTGGGGAGTGAGAAAATAAGTGTGTGTTAATTGAAAATAAAATTGTAAAAAGTTAAAAGAAACTGACCAGAAAATAAATGAGTGGACTGGAAAGTGGGTCATTAGGGTAGAAAGAGTAAGGCCCGATGGCCCCTCTGTACAGAAGCTGAGGCCCTAGAGGGAAGCAGGAGAGCCTGAGGGCCTAAAGACAGAGCAAAGCGCAGAAATGAGCCCCCCCGCCCCAGAAGATAATCCCAGAGCTGGGAATGGAGGAATGAAAGCCAAAAGACCTAAGAGGCTTATATTTTAATGAAACTTAATTGCAACTGAATACAAGAATGGACTGGTGCACAGGTGTTCATAAAATGGCTAGAGGGAGTGAACGCCAGGACCATCGATTTAGAGTTAGAGGGGACTTGGGGTCCTCTAATCCAAACCCCTCACTTACCCAATGAGGAAAGTGGGGCCCTAAGAGGTGAATAATTCCCCTCATTTTGAATTCAGAACCTCTAACTCTCCAGCTAGCCATCCACACTGACCTTGGCAGCTGAGACCCCTCCCTCAATGCAGGGCAGCTCCTGGGGAGAAGCCACTGGTGGAGGTGGGTAGGAAGAATTAAAAACACAAATCCTGAGACTCCCTCACAGGCAAAAAGCAATCTCCTAAGGTACACTTTTCTCTATCCCGGGGCAGGTGGATTTCCTGCCCTAGGGAAGATGTATTTTGAAAAACAAAGTCTTCCAGGTTCTTTAATCCCTAGAGGGAATCAGAACAAGTCTTCCACCATGATCACTCAGCAGACTTCCTAGGCTTGAGCCAACAGGGAAGGAAACCTTCCTGGAATCAATTACCAAATGACAACATTGGCTCTGCCCCATCGACAATGGTGCCTCAAAAAGTCACCAGTATTTATACTCCTTATTACGAGACTTGTGTTCATCCTGGGCAGGGAGGAAACAAGGTTTCAAGGAGTACCAGTGGAATGGAAGCTCCTGGAAGCTGGATCTCTTAATTTCGGTCTCTGCATCCCTGGTGTCTAGAGCAGGCCCTAAAGAAATAACTATTGGGAAAAGAAAACGAAACTGAATTCTGTGGAATTATGACCATGTTCGGCCCAAGAGAGCTCTAGGAATGTTCTTCCCTCCCTCCCCACTTAGCAAAGAGAGGTAATCAAGGGTGGAAAACTGCACATTGTGGGTTCTATTAATGTGTTGGCTACTTTTAAGGTTTTTTTCTTATTCATTGTTATAAGAGATAATTCTCTGTGACAGGGAGGGATATATGACAGGAGTAGATGATGGAAAGACGAAAGATCTATAAAAATGGCAGGCTTTTTGTTTGTTTGTTTCTGAGCTCAGGTTCCTAAAAATGGCAGTTTTAAAAATACTGGGAGATCTGCTCCTAGATTCACGGGGGACTCCGGGGCCTTTACCTCATTAGGTAAGGGTAGATGCTGAGGCAGGCTCACCAGGCTCCCTGCTATAGAATAAAGCCAACAATGACTTGGCCACCTGGGAGACAACTTAACTCCATTCATCTGATGGCATCGTGGGCTTGGCCCAGCCTCCTCTTAGAGGCAGGACACTGAGACCTAGGTATGCTATGTGACTTGTCCAAGGTGTCTCAGATCCCTCTGACTACAAAGCTTGCACTTTGCCCACTGTCCCTCATCTGGTTCTTTACTATAATCTAGTTGATTATAAATGGATGATGCTGAGCAGTCTAATCAGCCTTAATTTGGGGGCACTCCAATTGCCCCGAAGCCAATATCTCCGACAGATGACCGATGTAGTAAAGCAAGCCAGGAGAACGAAGCTCCAGAGCCCCACACGCAGCCTAGGGGCTGCCACTCTTCTCCTGAATTCTACACTGCCTCACAACTGTCCCTGGCATTTCTAAGAACGGCTGTCCTACATGCAAGGCTCGAGTTGAGACTGCCAATGCTACTCTCCTTCCCCGGCTGCTCTTTTCAGGACAAGTGAAGGGAAGAGGGGGTGGGCTGGGAGACAAGTTTGGCCAAGGGCCTCCTGTAAGATCCACTCCACGCTGGGCCAGATCAAACCTCCCAGCAAGGTCTATAAAATGGTGGAAAGCACAAGGTCGGACAGATGCTCTGTGGGGGTAGGAGTCTTCGTCCTCAGCCAAAAAGCTGATGAGGAAACCGAGGCCCAGAGAGGTGAGTAGCTCAAGGATACGTTGTTAGGGGTAAGAGGTGTATTCTGAACCCCAGGATTTTAATGAATGAAACCGGGAAACTGGAGGGAAGTGCCCACATGCACGCGGAGTGGTTTCTGAGGCTCCTTCCAGCTGATGGCCATTCCAATGGCCAGGCTGTGCCTCCGGTAGACAGCACTCTTTCCCCATTCAAAGCTCTGAAGTGCACAGTTTTTCTCTGATGGAGAGGTGGGATAATTGTATCAATTGCTCCACTACAGCAAGCATTTTACACATTCTCTGCACTTATTTATGGGCTCCCATGAGTTCTCTCTGCCTTCTGCATTTTCTGTGGGGTGAAACAAAGGCTGTCCCATACGCAGTATGCATTTGCTACCTACCTTATGTGCTTGTACAGGAAAAGGCTGGAAGCCCTGTTGCTGCCTACGTTAATGGCAATCTAAACACGAACGATACATAAGATACACTATTTTCCTTGAGTATCTTCTAGGTAGTAGCAGACATACAGATATTTTAGGACCACCACCAAGACTGAACCTCAGTCTGTGTGAATCAGAGCTTGCAGGGTTTAGTAAAAAAGCATTTATTAAGCACTTTTCAGGCACTGTGCTAAGCTCTGGGGACACAAGGAAGGGCACATGCCATCATCTGTGCGCCCTCAGGGAGCTCATCCTAACAGGGGCGACAATATGCAAAATCTGGACGCCTCGGATACATAACTGTGTGTAAAAAGGAGGTGCCCGAGAGGGACGGTACTCGCAGCTGGTGGACCAAAAGACAGGGCACAAGGTGGGAGCTGGGCTCAGTCCTTTGATCAGATTAATTCTGAAAGACCAGCAGGACGCCCCAGTGTCCCAGAGGTCTTGGGCCAGGACTAGCCTGTGCTCAGAGGTCACCTGGCCCCATACTCCAAACATCTGTCTCCCCAGCTCATCTCAGACCCATCCAGACTGCTCTAAGTCCTCTGGGTCCCAGGACAGAGCGAGGTCTCCTGGGAGACAGGCGAGGCTCACTAGCCAAGAGAATTCAGGCGGCAGAAGGTCAAGTTCCTCACTGCCTTCTGGCTGAGGCTCCCTGGAAGGTCAGTCAGCTGCCACCTAGGGCACAACTCTTCTACGGCGAACCCAAACACAACGGGAAACTGTTGGCATGCTATGCCACCGGGATCCGTGTCCAAAGGGCAATGCCAAGTCAGCAAGTCACACTTATAGCTGACTGCTTAACAAAATTTGGTTTTTTTCCTATGGAAAAATGACAGTGCAAATGGGGTCTAAGACTTTATAGCTCGATGCTATGGCTAGTATATTAGACTTCGGGTCACAAAGACCTGGGTTCAAATCCTGCCTGACAGCTCCTAGCTGTGTGACCCCGGGCAAGTCACTTCACCTCTGTGCCTGTTTCATCTCTAAATGAGAACTCTATTTATAGCACCTTAAAAACTTTGCAGGGTATTATGCGCCAGTTACTATTCTTACAATTATCATCACCACAATCAATTTTACCTTCCAAGTTTTTTTCTTCAAAGGACAGTGGCAGACCCACTTAAGATCTTAAGTCTAGGGCTAGGAGGGACCTCAGAGCACCTAGCCCAGCCCCTGCATACTACACAGGCAGAAACCCAGGCCCAGAGACAGGACGCCTGGCTGAGGTCACAGAGGCCTTGGACGGCGGGGCTGGCACTGGCTGACTCTCGACTGTTTCTTTCCAGCGAGCCACGGGGTACTTGAGAATGGCTCTCAGATTTAAGGCGAGACATCTCTAGGGAAGTTTGGGTGAATGCCTCATTCCACGGGTACTGCCCTCAAGTGCAACATAAATATGAGTGACGATTGTTCACGTCAACAACGCAGGACGGACGTGCGTGTGCCCCGTGCCATCTCTCGTGCTGTGCAGGAGGTTTACCAAAGGGGTGAACAGGAAAGGAGTTTTAGCTCAGGTGTCCTTGTTCACATTCCCCATAGAAACTTCCGCCTTAATCAAAGACACGTGACATAAAGCAAGAGGGGCACACCTATCTTTGAACAGGGCAAGATCACCCAGCTCAAGGGATCTGTCTCACTGCCTAAACGGTCACTACGGCCCATGAAAACAGCAAGGCCTCACTATCCAGACCTCCCCTAGAAAAAGCTCTGAAACTAGGGCGTCACAGTACAATACGGCAGCTGACATCAGTGCCCTAACTGCTGACAACACAGAGGAGAGAGCGCCGGCCTCTCACTGCTAAACCCAAAGAAGCGGAGAAAGGGAGGGCACAAGAGGCTGCGTGGAAGTGAGAGAAGAACACTGCGTAAGCAACGACAGGAGGAGACCAGAGAGCATCGTGAACAGCAACTACCTTTCACGGACATTTTCCTCAGTCTCTTGACTGAGCTGTGATTTTTAGTGGGCATACAGGAGGCAGGAGGGCTGGCAGGCTGTGGTGCACGGGTAAGACACACAGGGAGTCCGATGGCTGACATCAGAATACTCGTCATGCCTATACGGGGTGGGGGTGGGGGGTGAAGGCAAACATGCAGACAGGGAGGAATGGGGGAGAAACAATAAAAGGAATCAATTAAGCAAGTCAAAAGTAAAACAAGTCCAAAAACCCCAAATCCAATCCAAGTCAAAGCCAGTGACATCTGGGAACCAAAACCCAAACTACCCAATGGGTCTGGGGCAGAGATGCCCAGCAGAGCCCACAAGCATTCCAGGTGAACAGAGCTCAAGTCTGGGGAGAGTGGAGGCGTCTCCAGGTTCCCGGGGGACACCATCTAACAGCTACCAGATCATTTGAGGCCCATCCCCATCTAGAGCTCACTGTGTGCAGCTGAGGCCACAGCCCTGAGGCAGAAGCACCCGTGTCCCTGCCCAGCCCGGGCCTGGGCTACGTGTCTTCAGAGAAGTTTCTGCAGCCGACTGGTGGCATGCTTCACTGAAGACGGGACAATCAGACAGACAACAGAAAGGAGACATGTTAGAAGCAGGAACTACAGTGACCCTGGCTGGGGCCGGACAGGGCTAACTGGAGAAGTCAGGACTGTCTTACCTGAGGCTTCCCAACACCCCCAACCACATTCTGCTCTTCCACAGCACCCCTGGCACTGCTAGTGCAAACTCAAACTAGGTATGGTGACTTTCTACAAGGAGATCGAAGCTCCCAGAGCCTGGCACAAACATGAGGCATCACAACATAAGGGAAGTCTGTGCAGAGTAGCTGCGCCTCCCCATGCCTCCAAGTACTTCACAGCCTCCGATAACACTGAACGATCGTGTCTGTGAAGGGGAGGGCGCCCAAAGAGGCCTGTGGATTAACGGGCATTCTCCCCTTCCTCTCACTCCTGGGTGACCAGAGAGCTGCTCGTGGATTAAGCTCACGTTAAAGCACTGATTTTTCCAGGCCCAGCCTTCTGGTGATTCTGGGTTAAATGTGTAGAAATGGAATTTTGCGCCTGCGCCAGCCATCCTTTCCCTCTTTCAAAAAGAAAATGGAGGCAGCCATGAGTTGGTGTGACCAAAGGGACCAAAGACCAGGGTCTCTCCACATCCGCTGATTCAAGCAGGGCTTCTTTGCTTTAACGTAATGACAGCTAATGAATGAAGAAAGCTCTCATTGAGGCAGATGGAGGAGCACAGGAAAGAGTCAAAGAGACTAAAATGACGCCACAGTACAGGGGATAAAGGACCAAGAGTTTTCAAGTACCCAGAGTCACAAGAACCAAATTTGGGGATTACTGAATAAGTGGATACCCCAACCCCCATTTGTGGATTAATTAATTCTTTCCCTCAACCCCAGGCCTCTTCCAAGCTTCTCTATTTCTACCACCTTCCCATGCAGCTCTGAAAACCTGAGTTGCCCCCACCCTTGATTCTACTTCAGCTGCATGTTATAAATCTGGCCCCCTTCTCTTCACCCACAGAGCCTCCACTCATCTTGGATTATGGAAAAAGCCAAAGAACCCAACTGGTCACCCAGCCTCCAGTCTCTCCCCACTCCCACAGCTGCCAAAAGCATCTTCCCATGGTCAGACTGCGCCACGCCCCTGCTCAAACAATTCAAGTCTAGGACTCAGTTAAGTGTGCCTGTTTCCTGGATCACCTTTTCAATGAAAATTCTCAACAATCCCTGATATAGTAAAACTGGTCACAAACTTTTATTTTTTTCTTAAAACATACAACTCAGACACAGGCATCCTCCACAAGGCCTCTCCCAAACTCAGAAAGTTTACTGTAGAGTAAGGACAATGGGCTGCTAGGTGGCGCCACGGTGCGCAGCGTGCTGGGCCTGGAGTCAGAAAAATTCTTCCCAAGTTCAAATCAGGCCTCAGACACTTACTAGCTGTGTGACCTTGGGCAAGTCACTTAGCCCTGTTTGCCTCAGTTTCCTCATCTGTCAAATGAGCTGGAGAAGGAAATGGTAAATCACTCTAGTACCTTTGCCAAGAAAACCCCAAATGGGGTCATGGAGAGTCGGACATGACTGAAAAATGACTAACAAGGACTCTCTACCGGTCCAAGCCCCAATAAAGTGTGTACTGCCTGCCTGTAAACCTTGAGCAGCTATCTACATGTGGGCTCTTCTTCTCTCAGAGGGGTGCCCCTGCCCCCAGCGACCTCTCCTCTGATCTAAGGATGGTCTGGTCCTACAATTCACCACTGACTGCCTCGTGTGAGCTTCGTGTCTTGTTTCCTCGTCCCAATCTACTGAACACCCACTACGGAATGACCCCCAAGGCACGGGCGGACGGTCAGGAAGGTCTAAATGCCCAATGGGCAGAGACTGTGGTCTGTAACTGACACAGCAGGCCAGTAAAGGGTGCAGAGCAAACACTCAGGAAAGCCTTGGTGAATGAGGGAAAAGCATGTTTCTGGGGAGACTCAGGAGCAAAGAACGCGAAGGAAACAGTCTTATTTTTAGGACATGATCGAAAGATGACAATGTCAGCCTCGAGGGTTGAGCCTTCCAGCTGGCTCACCTGTTCCACATTAGGCACTAACGAATGTGTACAGATGAAGGATGAGGGAGGACTCCAAAGACCTGTGTGTGGTTGTACTGGGAAGAACCCTTAGCGAGGGCTATCACAGGGATGGTGGGGCTGGATCTCCTTCCTGACCCCTCTCTTTGACTGCTTGGTCCCTCAATCCTGGGGCTTGGCATGGGGTGTCACTGCCTACAGCCTCTGCTTAGAAGACCTCTTTATAAAGCCTAGTGCGCTGGCAAGACATTATGATGGTGCAAATCTCCAAGGAATCTGGGAAGGGGAAAGAGCCCACACGTCTGGAAAGCATCAGAAGCGAGATTTGAATCTGGCTCTCCAGCCAGACAAGGAAGTGTCTAAGGGGTGGGTCATTAGGAGCAGTGGATAGTTAAGAATCTTTGCCCAAGGTCAAGTCTCATACTTTCTTTACCAAATCATTTGTGCTGAAATGGCATTCAATGAGGGTCTTTTGGTGATTTCACTGGTGATGGAACTCCCAGAGAGGCAACTTCCTCTACCAATGCAGAAAGGCATGGCAGCCTTAGAGAGCTGTGTCTGGGGCACACTGGTTGGTTAAGAGACTTGCCCAGAGTCACAAGCCAGGGGGGAAATTTAACTCGAACCCAGCTCCCAGCTCTCTATACAACAGCACACCACCCTCTCATTTCTCCCTTGACATTGGCAGTATCTTCCTTAAAAAGGAACTGGGGGGGGGGGGATTCCAAGACCATGTTGCCCCTTGTTAAATCCCTTAATCAGCTTTGCCAGCCCCCTACTTCAGCCAGACTGGCCTATTTGCTGTCCTCTGACTCTACCCCTCGCCTTTTCCTACCTCTGCATCTTTGTTCCCATCATTTCTTCCACTGCACAGAACATACCCCCCCACCAGTTGTGCGTCTTTCTAGGCCAGCTCAAATCTCAGCTCCACAAGAAGCCTCAGGTGGCCAGCAGCCATCTCACTGATGGGGTGTGGGCCCTGGAAACAACCTCCCCCACTTTGAACTTCCCCTGAACTTTCCCACCTGGCCCCAGCGTTTGCTTGAGGCTCAGCCCAGTATAATTCTTTCAACAGTCCAAGCCAACAGTCCACTGTGGCTTTGACCCGCCCCAGTCTCCAATTGTTACCTCTAACCTAGCCCAGCCCTTCCTAGTCTTACCTCCGATTGCCCCAGGCCACTTCCCACCCTTAATCCCACCTAGACCCCCTTCTCTGTTACTTTGGGGTCACCCTAGCCTACTGACCACTCCTCGATCCCATTGAAATCTTCCCACAAAAACTTTTTCCCTTATAAAAGAGGTCAATGTCATCTACTGCAGGCTTCTATTTGGAGAAACAATAAACCTTGTCTTTGACTGAAAGAAGGCTTGAGTCGAATTCTTTTGAGGAAGGACCCACACCTTTTTGACCTTGAATTTCAGAGTTTCCAGCACCCCTAGACTGCAACATCACCAGGTGTTCGGAGGAGATGTACTGCCGGCCTCACCTCCCTCCACTAGATGGTAAATTCCTAGGGGGCAGAGGTGACCTCAGACCTCTCAATCCCACCCAGAGCTTTCCTGCACACAGGAGGTATTTTGCAAAGATGTACAGAAAACAACAGAGGCTACAAAGACAGACTAATTAGAGGCTAGGAGGAGAGGCATGCTAGAGGGATTCCCTACCCTAGCAATCACAGGGAAATCTCTTCTTTTTCCTGTAGCTTGAGAAATGGGCCCAGGTTTGTGAATCACAAAACAGTGCCAATGACAGAGAACACTGGGTTCTTCTGGGCTGAGGACAAGGCTTCAGGGGGTTTAGATCAGACCTCCCTCAGCCTCCTCCTGATAGACATCACCTGGGAACATCACATGACTAGAAAGTGGAACCCTAGAAAAGAAACCCCGGGCCTCAGAGGCTCCCCCGGGCTACCTGCCATGATGTGCCCCTGAGTCCTTGGGATGCCCGCATGGCATCATTTGAGAACACACTGCCTGCTAATTACAAGACCCTTGTTAGGCTCCATGATGCCTGGATGCACTGACATATAATATGCAATTCATCTGGAAGTCCTTATGATGGAAAGAAGGGAAAATGTTCATGGAGAACACGGCCCCACTCAGACCTGGGCTTTTGTGTGGTGTTACAGCAATGTCACGTCATCTCACCACTGCCCTGACCCAATAGAGCAGACCTGAGTCACATGAAGATGCGGGGATTTATCCCACTTTATCCTACAGTAGCAGCACAGGTGGCCCGAGGTAAGGGGGAAGGGGGGACCCCTAGCTCCCAGTATGAAAGCCCTTCTGGCCACAATAAGACCAGTCCAAGACTTGAGGTCAACTCCAACTGCTCAATTTTCCAAAAAGGAATCTTTTGAATTATGAATTACCAAATCCCTCAGGAAGGAAGAAAAAAGCCAACCCTTGATCTGACTGGTGGAAGATCACCCAGGAACATGAACATGCAGGCTGAGGGGCCCCCAGAGGCCATACCATAATGAAAAATAGTTCAAATGCTCTTAGAAGGCTTTTGGATTTCGTCAGAAATTCCAAAGGTCAAGGCAAGGCCCACCCAGCCCTCCCCCCAAAAGAACCCTGCACACCCTAAAACCCTACCTGTGAGGGCCTGCTGGACCTTGCTCGGCTTCGGCATCTGCACAGGAACGCTGGGGACGCTAGCAGGGGCACTCACAGATGTAGTGTTGGGAACACTGGTGGGGACAGTCACAGGAAGGCCTGGGAAGGAGCTACTGGAAAAGGAAAAAAATAAAGAAAGATTTAGAGTGTGTCTTCAGTAATGCCGAAAGAAAGCAAGTCAGCCCCTGCTCCCATACGTCCCCTGTCTACTGGAAGGTTCCGGTACGTCTGGGCCACGTGGCTCATGCTTCAGCAGAGACCACTCTGACTTTCTGTGCCCACTGAGAAGCTCCAAGAGATAAGCTGAAAATAAATGGAAATCTGTCCTCATCAGAGACCTTTGGGACAAAAACAAAGTGCTGCCTTCCTCAACCAAAGGCAACCATGACCTGTATTACCTGCTTATGCGCTGGAGCTGACAAGGGAGAAGGTTGGGTCCATCAACAATGATGACTGATGGAGACAGGACCAGAATGAAGCATGGGAAGAATCTGCCGTGGCCATCTGGAGGTGCTCCAACAGCTGGGACTAAGTTTACTAAACATCTGACCCTCCATTAGCACCAAGCAGGGTCAGACACCACCTCGGACCAATCTACGATGGGATTGCAGTCTACGCTGGGAAGCCTTGGCATAGGTGCTAAAAAATCAATTTGACCGAGTAAATATTGATTAAGCACCTTTGTCTGGCGCTGGGTGGGGGTGGGGAACAGGAGAGAGAAAAGGTACCTATCCTCAGGACTTAGGCAACCAGGAGAAGAAATCAAGGAGCTATAACAGAAAACAACACCGAAAGGGGAAGTAAGAGGGGAGGCAGCTGAATTCAGGTTTAAAGGATGGGTGATGCCTTGGAATCCTTCAGTCGAGGCTGCTTCCTGCAAGATGCCACGGACCTCCAGGATCCTGGCTCAGGGTACAGATGGAGCAGCTCAGCCGAGCATGCTGGGAAGGGGCTGCATGAGAGCGGAGGTCAAGCTGGAGAGCTCAGCAATTCTGTTGCTATGGAAACATGAACAGGATACCTTTTCCTGGGTTGGGAGTTTTTCCCCTTTATTTTGGATTGCAGTATCTGTGACCCGCGAAGAATAATTTCTATTAATATTGACTCTGAAGTCATTTACTGATCTGAGATTGTGTTTGTTCATAATAAAAGTGAAGTGAATCTGAAAAAAATAAAGGATGGGTGATGAACAGCTAAATAGGGTGGTGAGAGACTGCAGGCCTGGGGAATGGAAAGACAGTCACTAGAGGTGGGGGTGGGCGTGGGTACCTGCAGCACAAGGGGGAAGTCCTAAGGGATGGCTGCAAAAGCAGGATTGTTCTGGGGCAACAGGAACCACTGAAGGGTTTGAGCAGATTTGTGCATCAGTGAAGAAGCAAAGAGTGGTACAGAGAGAAGAATGTTGGATCTGGAGTCAAGCGCCTGAGTTCAAATGCTCGCTCTGTCACTTTAGGCAAGTCCCTTCTCTATGTGGCTTTCATTTTGCCACGGGTAACATGAGAGAGTTGGACCTGAGGCCCCTGAGGGTCCCTGCCAACTCTAGAACTGTGATTCTCTAAGATGAAGCTCAAAATCTGCAGGGAGAAGAGGGCAGGAGGAAAAACTCACTAGAAAGCTACAGCCAAAGTCCAGGCAGCTCCTGATGAGAGACTGAGACGAGGGAGGAGAGGGACAGAGGGAGAACAATATGGGGGTCTGGTAACCGAACAGATAAGAAAGGTGAAGAGAGAGGGAAAGTCAAAGATCTTGCCAAATTCTTGAGAACTGCTTTATACTGCCATGGGGACTGCTATCACCCAGGGGTCCCAGGAGGTCTCCACTAAAATCTCAAGAGTTGCTTTTAGACCCTTGTTGCCCAAAGGGCCACAGCTGGGTACCAGGTCAGTGCACCTGGGGCAAAGTTAATTAAACTGGCCTGCTCCTTTGCTTCTGGGCTCACAACAGTCTGTGTGGCTCACAGTCCCACACTGTTACCGTGAATCTGGCACACTCATTCGCAGAGATGGAAGTCGGTCCAGTCTAGGCCCAGACTAAAGGTCTGTTCCCTGGTACCCATCGGCTCCCCTCCTTCTGCTGGAAGCCACTCTTCCCTCTTGGAACTGATGTGGCCGGCAGAGCTCTGGGTCTACCTTTCCCTAGGGCAGGTGCTTCTGTTCAATCCTGTCCAGGGATTTCTTTCCACTGGCGAAGCTTCCTCTCCAGGTGCCACTCAGGAACGAAGCCTTCTTTTGGAGGTGGAACGTTGGCTGTGCCAGCGCCCTGTGCTCCCAGCCTGGGTTCTGCTCTGGGCCTTCTCACTGATTGTAAGAGGCTGTGAGGGGAGAGCATTACAGGGATGGGGGATGGGGCACTGAGACAGGAACACACAGGACAAACAGCAAGGCTGGTTTGGCTGGCCACAGGAGAGTCATGTGTCCTGAGTTTGGAAAGGTAAATTGGAGCCAGGCTGTGAAAGGCTTTAGGAGGGAGCCACTGGGCTTTACTAAGCAGGGATGGAATAGTGAGCCCTATGCTTTAGAAAAAGTCATGGTAGCAGCTGTGAAGGACAGGCTGGAGAGAGAAGAGACTCAAAGCTAGGAGACCGATGAGGAGTCACTGCAGTGATGAACACAGCACTTCTGGAGTGCTTGCTCACCTCTGGGGTGCACAAACAGAAAAGATGCTCTCTGCTCTCCACAAGCTCAGCTTCTAATGGGGGAGACAACACACATCCCAGGGGCTTCTGCCACGAGTCAGATGGAAAGGTCTCCTGGTCTGCAGTGGACAGTGAATGGCAAAATGGATGCCTCTTCTTTGATGTTATTTCCACTGATAAACTCCTATCAATTCCTGGCATTTTACAGTGCCCAGGACTTTCTCTTCTGGGTCTTCAGTAACTGTGGCTGGAGCCCTGCATTGTTATGCCCAAGGCTCCTGGGGTCAGAGTTCTGGGCTGTCTCCATCAGGGTCTGAGGGGAGAGGCGGTGCTTTGAGTTACCTCCTACCACTTCCAACACAAGGTACCCTGCTTCAGCTAAGCTGGCTTGTCTGCCCCTTGGGTGGAAGATGGCAGAGACAGCATGCTGCTTTTCCACCAGCCTCTCCAAATAACCAAGGAGGGTCAGAGGTAGGACCGGTGGTGTAAGAGGTGCTACCACTCCAGGCGCCCTCTGCCTATCACCTGTGGGTGACAGCTGGTCAGCAAGAAGGCGGGTTCCTTCTCCACAATGATTTCCTGCCTCAATGATGGCTGCAGGGGCTGGAAGTAGGGCTGATGGTCTGGGGCACACTGCTATTCCCAAGGCTCTTGGGTTCGGGGGTTCTGGGCTGTCTCCAGCAAGGTCCAATGGGAGGGTGGTGGTGAAGGACTTGTCTGGCATGTGCTGTCTCCCATCTCCTTCTCAGGGGGCCCACAGGCTTGCCCTCAGCCACTCTAAACAAAAGCGATGGCTCTGAGAAGGACAATGAGAGACACTGTGGAGGAAGAAATAACAAGACCTGAAAAGTGGGGTGAAGGAGAGTGAAAAGCTGGGTATGACACCTGAGTTGCCAGGCTAGCTAACTGGAAGGATGGTGGGGAAGTTTGAGGGAGGGTCTGATAACAAGCTCCATTTGGGACAGGCTCTCCCTGAGATGCCTCCAGGCTCTAAGTCTGGCTAGCCCAGGTCTGCCGGAGTGAATCCCATCTCCACTCATTAAGTAATGCAAATCAAACCCCACTCCCGCAGTGGGGAGAGCCCTTTCACCAGACAAAACTACAAATTAACCCAGAATGAAAACCCTCCAGCAGGGCCTCACCCTTTGTTTCAGCAGCTGTGACCTTGTATACACAGAGAGGGGACTCCCCCCATACAACTTCTGTCCATTACTACCGATCAAAACAGAAGCGTGGGGCATCCTTGTCAGGAGCCTCCCTTCTGCCGAGCCCAGAATTCTTAGGGAGGGACCCAGTAAGCTCCACTTGGTTTGGCTCTGTTTCTCACCACTCCCCCATCTCCCTCTAGAGAACCAGTTTCTCTTGAAAATATCTCCTGAGGGGTGGGGAGGTGTGGATCTGTCTTGCAAGACGGAGCAGAGTTTTAAAAGACTTTTTTTATCCTTGTTTCTTAAAAACAACAGAGACATCAGAGCTTAGCATCGCTATTGATAGAAAATACACACACACATGGATATAACAACTGTCTATAGAACCAGGCCTCAAGCTATCTCACGCAGCAGCAGTCATCAAACATTTGGTGTAGGTTAACAAAGTGAGAAGCAGACCGTAGGAACAGAGTAAAACAAGGGCGAATCAGAAACAATGGAACTCAATAACCCAGAAAACACAAATTACTGAGGAAAGGACTCCTCACTTGATAAAAATGGCTGAAAAACTGGAAAGCACGGGCTTTGCCCAACCCCTTATACCACATTCCACAACATATTATCTAAATGGATACGTGACTTTAATATTAAAGACTGTACCACAAAGAAATCAGGAGAGAAACAGATCATCTAACTTTCATGGCTATAGGAGACTGATTCTTAATCAAATACGGGACAGAGGCACTTACAAAGATAAATAGATTTGATTACAGGAAACTAAAACAAAATTAAGGTACCAAGGATAAGGTTTCAAATGGGGGAAAAAATGTTTGCATTAAATTTCTCTGATAACAGTTTGGTATCCAAGATATATACATATACATACATACATACACACACACACACACACATATGTGTGTTTATATATAATAGACAGATAGATAACAGATACACGTGAGAACAAAAGCCATTCCCCTACAGATAAGTGGTCAAAGGATATAAAGAGTTCTCAAAAAAAGAACTGTTCAGCCACTGTTGTTTAGTTGTTTTTCGATCATGTATGACTCTTTTTGACCCCATTTGGGGTTTTTTTGGCAGACAGTGGACTAGTTTGCCATTTCTTTCTCCAGCTCATCTGACAGATGAGGAAACTGAGGCAAACAGGGTGAAGTGGCTTGCTCAGGATCACACAGATGATAAGTATCTGAGGTCAGACTGAATTCATCAAGATGAGTCTTACTGACTGCAGGCCCTGCACTCCATCCACTGCCCCCCAGCTGCAAACAATTAATAACCACACAAAAGAATGCTCCAAATCACTAACAAGGAA